ACCAGCTCCCATTTTTGTCATCTCTGCATACACTCTCTGGGGGTTCACAATGATTCATCTTGTTAGTATAAACTGTTAGGTGTGGTCCAAGGTACCCATTATGAATAATAAAGGCATTCTCAATGTCTGGAAAAAATTTAAGGATTTAGAGGTTTTTTCCCAGGAACTGGAGACAGAGGCCATCCAATTTTGTTTTTTTTCTTTTCCGTGGCTAGAGAAAGTAATAGTCCAAATCTTTTTATTACACATAGCATGTACATGATTTAGTTCATATAAGCTGATGAAACAATGTCTTTAGTAAGGAGTCTGTCAGAATAACTCAGATATTAGTAATATTAAATTAAGAGAAAGTCACCTAAAAGTGATCTATAAAAGATCTTTTATCTCCCTAAACTGTTTCTAGGCATTATATTTGTGTTTATTTCATTAAAATAAATTCTTACTGATTATTTTGTTTAACAGCCGTTAATGTTGTTGAGAAATACTTCCATTAATCTTTTAGATGCTTCCATTAATCTTTTAAAATGTTTTGATACAAATTTGTGAAGGTCATAAAACATATAGTTACTTCCCACACCCAGTTTTTTTAAGGGAGAGGATCTTACTCTGTCATCTAGGCTGGTGTTCAGTGGCACCATAATAGCTTACTGTAGCTTAAAACTCCCGGGCTCAAGGGATCTTCCTCTCTCAACCTCTCCGGTAGCTGGGACTACAGGCTCAGGCCACCATGCCCAACTAATTAAAAAAATTTTTTTGTAGAGATAGCATCTTGGTATGTTGCCCAGGGTGGCTTTGAACTCCTGAGTTCAAGCAGTCCTCCCTTCACTGGCTCCTGAGTAGTTGAGACTATAGGTTTGTGCCACTGCATATGGATAGTTGTAGTTATAATTGTTTGTTTTGAGATGAAGTCTTGCTCTGTTGCCCATACTGGAGTGCAGTGGTGTGATCTCAGCTCACTGCAACCTTTGCCTCCCAAGTAGCTGGGATTACAGGTGCCTGCCACCACACCCAACTACTCTTTTTGTGTTTTTCATAGAGACAGGGTTTCACCATGTTGGTCAGGCTGGTCTCGAACGCTTGACCTCAAGTAATCCATCCACCTCAGCTTCCCAAAGTGCTGGGATTACAGGCTTGACCCACAGCACCGGCCTTGTAGTTTTAAGTATCATTCCTCTTTGTCTTAGATTTATCCTATTGTAAACTAAATCACATACTTTTCTCCTTTTTTTATTTAGTTTGTGTAAGTCAAATGGGTCCTTGTAATAATACCTTTATAGTGGAAATTTAAGAGTACACTGTCTCCTCAATTAGTCACATCTCCTTGTAAGTCACCTGTTATGTAAAGGCCTATCATTATTTCCTTTAATTTGTGTTTTGATATTTTTTACATAATGTTCTTTCATGGTTGTATAATAATGAAAAGAAAGTAAATGTTCCATGGTAATTTGTTTCATAATTATGATGAATGCTCTGTTAGAAGGTTAATTATAAAGAAGTTATATACTTTAGTCTTAATTATTTTATGTAAGCCACAACTGCTATAGAAAGCAAATGCTTCCTCTGGTGCGGTGGCTCATGCCTGTAATCCCAGCACTTTGGGAGGCTGAGGTGGGTGGATCACGAGGTCAAGAGATCGAGACCATCCTGGTCAACATGGTGAAACCCCGTCTCTACTAAAAATACAAAAAATTTGCTGGGCATGGTGGCGTGTGTCTGTAATCCCAGCTACTCGGGAGGCTGAGGCAGGAGAATTGCCTGAACCCAGTAGGCGGAGGTTGCAGTGAGCCGAGATCGTGCCATTGCACTCCAGCCTGGGTAACGAGTGAAACTCGGTCTTAAAAAAAAAAAAAAAAAAAGACAGCAAATGCTTCTAATTACTATAGTTCTGAAGCATAGTGTTAATTATCTTAGGGTCATTGATATTATACTTGATGAAGTGACATCACTTCAAATGACCCTAACATGACATAAATGCTTTACTTGCTGCTAGATCAACCAGAAGACAACAGCACAATAAGTAAGCCTCACTGTATTCCTTAACTCATTAAGTCAATTGAGATGCCATTGTTAATGCATGGTTTAAAAGAGTAGGATATTTATATTGTTCTGTACAGTTTCTGATTTTATATCTGTGACTTACCTCTAATGCTATAAAATGTTGTTACAAGATGACAAAAATAAGAATTAAACATTAGTGTTCTCTGTTGACCAAACATTAAATTAATGAAGTTATAAGTAACTCCGAAGGCATTATATGTTGTTATTTGTCTGTTAAGACAGTTTTACAGTACTATTTGAATAAATAGTGAAAAGCAAATACTCTTAGTATATAAAAATTGAACTTAATATGAATCATAGGCCAGGCATGGTGGCTCACCTCTGTAATCCCAGCACTTTGGGAGGCCAAGGCAGTTGGATCACAAGGTCAGGAGATTGAGACCAGCGTGGCCAATTTGGTGAAACCCCATCTCTCCTAAAAATAGAAAAATTAGCTGGGCATGGTGGCGGGTGCCTCTAGTCCCAGCTACTCGGGAGGCTAAGGCAGGAGAATCACTTGAACCCAGGAGGCGGAGGTTGTAGTGAGTTGAGATTGCACCATTGTACTCCAGCCTGGGCAGCAGAATGAGACTCTGTCTCAAAATAATAATAATAATAATTTAAATGAAAATGAATTACATTTTTCTTTTTATTCTTCCACATAAACCCACCAAATAGAATTGAAAAGCAGCAGGAAAAGACACCTTAAACACGTGGCTTTTCATAAATTTGTAAATGTAAATTGCTTGTTCCTAGATGGAATGGCAGTGTGTTGGGAGCCATCATCCTGGCAGCATTGTTGTCTTTTTCTCCTTGGCACAATAGACCATCCATTGTGACCCTGTGTGACTAGTAATAAGTAACTTTGCTTACTACCTCTCTCTATGCAGTCAGACCGCTAACAGCAGAAATACTAAGTGTAGTATATTGTTTTCCCCCTACCCTTTCTCGTTTCTCCCTCTTGCTTAGGCACTCATTCATACATTCATTTGCAGATTTATTTCATGAAAATTTTCTTGGGTTAAAGTTATGTGCCAGGATTATAAAATTGAATCGTGCATGGGCCTTGCCTTCACAGATTTTATAAGTTTAGTTTTATATATGATGCTCCATTCTGAACATGAGAATAAAAACTATTTCTCTCCTTAAGCTTAAATTCTATATCTTTAAAAATAAGGTTTAGATTCCTTTGAGAGGAAACGGTTCCTTTCTAGGATGATTTAAAATTCCAAGGATATGGAATGCTTTAGTTTCTTTTGGAAGAGGTTTAGAAGCATGTGTAAGAGATGGGCCAGAAATGTTGATCAAGAGAATTCCAGTGTTTATAGGGGTAAATGGATTTTAGTATTTTGTAAGAATCCATAAACATCCACTTATGTTTATATTACACTGGCCTTTTTCCTGCCTGAAATATTTCAGTGATGCAGTAAAGCAGTGGTATGACACATTCATATTAAGTTCCATTCAGCTACATTGTGAGAAATAAGGCACAAAACAGTGATTTTTATAGCAGTCTATGAACTATAGTAAAATTATTTCATCTATAGTGCTCGTAGCAGAATTTTTAAGGCAAGTTTTGGCCAGACATGATGGCGCACGCCTGTAGTCCCAGCTACTCAGGAGGCTGAGGTGGGAGGATTGCATAAGCCCAGGGGGTTGAGGCTTCAGTGAGCCATGATCATGCCACTGCACTCCAGCCTGGGTGACAGAGCAAGACTCTGTCTCAAAAGAAAAGGCAAGTTTTATTTTGTTTAGAAATGATAATTTTTTCATACTGTAGTATTATGTGTGTAATAGGGCTAAAAAAGGGAAGAGACTTCAGAAATCAGAATACTTATCTGGTGTCTATGCTTCTTGACGTAGTATTTTACTATTGAAGATTCGAAAAGTATATAATTTGATTTTTAATAGCTTTCTTGAGATGCAATTTACATACCATAACATTTACGTATTTAAAATGCACAATTCAATGGTTTTTAGTACATTTACAAATTGTACAGTTATCGTCATCATCCCTAAAGGTAATTTGATTTTTGAATTTTGTGTAAGGAAATGCTACTCACATTTGAAGTTTTTCTTCAAAAATTAACATCTATTTACAGAGCTTCTGTTTGGGATGATGAAAAAATTCTGGAAATGGATAGTGATGATGGTTGTACAACATCATATATGTACTTAATGCCACTGAGCTGTATGCTTTAAAATGATTAAAATAATAAGTTATATATATTTTACCACAGCAAAAATTAATATCAAATTTTATGAAATCAGAATTGGCTTAACTTTAGAAGTTTTTAGAAATTTCATCCTATCTCAATGCTCTTTGATATAAAAAGAAAATAAAAAAAAAGTCATCCTAGGCAACACATGGCCCTGTTAATTTTTTCTCAGAAGCATGTTATATTAAAGATATTCTTGTATGCTAAAACAATCATGATATTAGTTTTCCTAGACTGAAAATGATGCATTAAAATTGTTGTTATTTATTTTTATAGAAATTAGTGTATAATGAAGTGAAGAAATAAAGATAATTAGCTTTTCTTTAATTTTGCTGTTCTTGAGAAAGAGAGGTGCCAAACAGTGCTGGATTATTTATCTTAACTGGGGGAAAAAGTAAATATAATGCACACATGCATATAAATATGTATATAATAATATAAAAGTATCTGTTTATAGGTGCATTAAAATATTCTCTGCATGGAGACAGAAGAAATAACAATGTTTGTCGTTCTGGACAGGAGAACAGGGTGGCTAGGGTTCATGGGTGAGAATGATATTTTTGATAATATTTTTGATTATGTGAATGTATCATCCATTGAGACATTTTAAGTAAAAACTTACTCTAATCCTACTCTTGGAATTAGCATAACTGTGTTCCTTCTTACTGTGCTTTGTTACAGGGAGTAGAACTTTGATATTGGTTTGAAAATGAAATATACTAAGAAGTTGTTTTCTTTTTCTAGGGATTGATTATGGATTAAGTTTACCACTTGGGGAAGACTATGAGCGGAAGAAAAATAAATTGAAAGAAGAATTGCGGCAAGATTACAGACATTATCTTACTCAGGTAATGCATTCTATTAAGGAGTTGGGTTTAATGTTTTTAGGATTTGGCTCCTAAATTTGTTTTCATAAGGTTGTTAGTCATATGTGTTATTTTTTAGGTTTTCAGTGGTACTAGCAAAGTATTATTAGAGTCATATATGACATAGATAGGGAAAAAAATGTTGCTGAGAACTGGTGCTGTAGAATAACAGACTCTTGACCTTTGGACTAAGGCAATGTATTCTAATTTTAAATGAGATTGTTAATTATGGTTTTTCATGTTTTCTGTGAAGTTTCATGGTTTGAAGTAATCGAGTCATGGTTTCCCACTCTTCTATACCCCCCATCTATGTATTAAAATGACAGGTGGGGTTCTAGTTACTAATTATTTTCCTATGAGTCAAGCTTATAAATATTTATTTAATTATTTAGCCACTAAAGCTTTTGTATTATGATCTCTTGTTTTAAGTATTTTTGTTAAATTATGTAATAGCCAAAGTAATGGTTTAAGTTTTAAAATACACTTCTACTTTTTAGGTTATAAAATTATTTTAAACAATCATGATGATGTCTTGTCACCTTGAGATGACGACAAGACGACATGGTTGTTTAAAATAATTTACTTTATTTTTTTACTGCTTTATGTTTGTTCCAAATGTACAAACTGTCTCTTATTTATTCTGATTTGCACATAGAGAGAATGAATTTTGACTGAATACACTTTGTCAATGGTTTGTTTCCCTTGACTTTAGGGCATTACACAAGGGAAAAGAAAGGTAGGGTTATCTGCAGAATGTCTTTCTTTAGTTTTTTCTTTCTCTCTCTCGTTCTCTTTCTTTTTAATAATCCAGTAGCTTGCAATTGTTTGCATTTATGAGATTCAAACCAATTAGAAAAATAGGTTTATTTGTGATTTTGAGATAATTGAGTGGTATCATTTTGTATTCTTGCTTTTAGCAAGATGACAGTGTACACCTTATAATTTTCCTTTCATATAGTCATTGCTTTTGATTCCTGCTTTGCATTTGTGTTTATTGCTTTCTTATGCATTCTTTATTGATATTCTGCAGTTAAGTCTGTTTTCAGCATGTAATTTTTTGTTTCTCAAATTATACTAGTCACAGTAAGATTAATAGAATAGTAGAATATTTAAGATATTTAAACTACATGTTGTCAGAATTTGGATTACTCTGTTTTTGCATTTTGCACAAATGCAAAATCTGTAAATTGCATTTGTACATTTATATTGGAAAATAAAGAGAAACAATTTTATGGTTTTACAAAACTAGTTTTAAAAATAATCTCACAGATTGACCATTCGACTAACATATTTTAAACACGTATATAGATGTTATCAGGTATGGATCCTGTCTTCAAGAGGCTTGGAACTTAGTTGTGGAGATGACATTCATACAATTCAGAAAGTGGTAACTACAAGAAGAAGAAGATAATGATCAAGAAAATCCTCATAGTGGGTGTTTCTATTTTGTAAGGCAATCTAGATTTGGATGATCTAGAGAGAAACTTGAAGCAAGAAAGCTTTTCAGATGGAGAACATTGAGTAAAAGAGGACCTAGAGGGAAGACTTTAGCTTTGTATGATTGAGGAATATTAGGTTTACCATACTGAGTCAGAGTATCATACTTTTTGAGAGTAGTAAGAAATAACAATGTATATCAGATAGGATCAAATTGGAAGGCAGTAGATTTTTAACTTGTTATATGTGATAGGTAATGATGAACATTATATTTTCTTAAGTAGTCTATGAAGAGCATAACTGTGTTTTAGGACAGTTAGTTCTGCATGTAGAGACTCTCATCTTATTGTCTTAAATTGCTGCTACAACTTAACTGATTTCCTTGAGCTAATTTTCATTTTCCCCTCCAAGCTGTTTTCCAGAAGGATTCTGTCCCTAACTTATTTAAATATGTCAGAATCTTCTTACTGCCTCCAGGATAAAAATTCAAATTCCTTAGCATGGCACATGTCTTTCGTATTCCAGCCTGACTTCCTGTGCTTATACCCCATTATCCTCCCCTTCCCTACCTCTTTTCTTGGGTAGAGTTTTCCTCTGGTATCACATATCAGCCATTTTCACTTGTAGTTTTTGGATAACGCCCTAGATAAGATTTATAAAAAGGATAGTGGTGGGGGGGCATAAGAAGAAATTGCCTTCATAAAAGTACAAATCTTTAAATTCAAAGAGATGTGAAGGCATTTTTCAGATTTTTTTTAAATTTTTTATTTTGAGCTGGAGTCTTGCTCCATTGCCCAGGCTGGAGTGCAGTGGCACGATCTCAGCTCACTGCAACCTCTGCCTCCTGGATTTATGTGAGTCTCCTGCCTCAGTCTCCCAAGTAACTGAGTCAACAGATGTCTGGGCCATGCCTGGCTAATTTTTTTTTTTTTTAATCTTTTTTTGTGTTTTTAGTAGAGACGGGGTTTCCCCATATTGACCAGGCTGGTCTTGAACTCCTGACCTGTGATCCACCCGCCTTGGTCTCCCAAAGTGCTGGGATTACAGGCATGAGCCACTGAGCCTGGCCAGTTTTTTAGATTATTAAGAATATAGTCATATAGAGGAGCAGTATTTCCATAACATGAGAGAGAATTTTTTGTTTACATTTGAGAAGATGAGAATGGAAGGGAAAGCAAGAGAAAAAGGAAACTACACAGGATACAGGGAGGTGGCTGCAGCTTCCTGGACCCCCTGAAATATGTATGGTTTTTAAGTCCTATTCCTATATCTCTTGTGGCTTCCATACTTGGATAGCATGGATATTTGAATTAAAAAAGAAACAAATCTTTTAATTTTGCTGAGAAGAGTTATTAAAACAAACAACTACCATCTTCTTTCGTGTTTTAATTAAATTTTTTTTTCCTGAGCCCTTCCTGCCTAGAAATGCTTTCTTGTTTTTATAATATATGCTTGACCATCTAAACACAGAAAAGACATGTTCTCAGGAGAACAGTTTTTAAATGAGTCAGTTAATTAATATTTCCAGCCCAGACCTCTCTCCTGAACTTCAGACTTTTCTAGCTGGCTGCATAAATCACATTTTCTCTTTGAAATCTACCTAATATCTTATGTAGATCATGTCCAAAAGAGAATTCTTGATTTCTGTTTTTCCCACCCTCATGCCTGATAAACCTACACTAGCTGTAGCCTGTCCTTTTAATTTCTTTTTTGTCACAGTAAGTATTACTTTCTAGCATGTAATTACTCCTCATTATGTTTATTATTTCTTTTCATTTTCCCCAGCTTGAATATATGCTTTTGGAGAGCAGGAATCTTTATCTGTTTTCTTCTGTCCCAAATGTATCAGAGAGTTTGAGCATATGGTAGGCACTCAGTATTTATTGAAGGAATGAATGAGTGATTAAAATTTAGCTTTTTGAAAAAACTCATTGTTGTTCTTTTTTTTTTTTAATTAAAAACATTTTTTTGGTAGGTACAGGGTAATAAAAAAACCCACCTGGTCTTAAACTCTTGGGCTCAAGTGACCCTCCTGCTTTGGCCTCCCAAAGTGGTGGGACTAGAGACATGAGCCACCATTCCCAGCCTATGTTGTTGTTATTGATTATTTTTTTCATTTTATTGAAAATTTCAAACATGATTCTTGACCCATGTTTGGAATGGGAAATTGCCCAATGAAGGAGTGAGGATGTTAAATCTGTCTTCCTGGGATTGGAACTATGAGTGGGTTTTTGATGCATTTATAACTCTTCAAAATGATTAGGTTTATAGTGTACTTCAGTATATAGGAAGTAAACTCACTCAGTGGTCTGGTCATGTGTCTTAGTTTTTCCTTGTCAAATAAGTTTAGAGTTTCATACAGCCAACTTTCAAATTAGCTTTTGTAGCACAATTCATTTGTAAATTCAGATTTAATGAAATTTTATTTATTTTTGAGACAGAGTCTGGCTCTATCACCCAGGCTAGGGTGCAGTGGTGCCAATCTTGGCTCACTGCAACCTCTGCCTCCCAATTTCAAGTAATTCTCCTGCCTCAGCCTCCTGAGTAGCTGGGAATACAGGTGCATGGCACCATGCCCAGCTAATTTTTTGTGTTTTTAGTAGAGACAGGGTTTCGCCCTGTTGTCCAGGCTGGTCTGAACTCCTGAGCTCAAGTGCTTTCTCAACCTCCCAAACTGCTGGAATTACAGGCATGAGCCACCATGTGTGGCCATATTTAGTGAAGCTTTATTAAACACTTAGTTTTGCTAATTACTCTCTTTCTGTAATGTTTTGAGTACAACACTATTGTAGTAGTTAATACATTGTTTTATGGTTATTTGCTTACATGTCTGTTTGTTCTGCTGAATTGTAAATCTCTTGAATATAGGGAAAATATACCTGCAGAGTATTAGATGGTTGCTAATTGCTTGTTTAATGAATAAATAAAAGGCATGGAGGTAGACAGGTTGACAAATATTGATTGATTTAATCCTCATAATCCAGTGATGTGTAGATGGCATTATTTCTGTTTTACAGACAAGGAAACTGAAGTGAAGGGAAGTAACTTATTCCAAATTATTTGACTACTAAGTAGCAGTACCAAAAAGTTAAGGATCATGTGTTTTTTTTTTTTTTACAAGCTGGGGATCATGTGCATTTTTTTTTTTTTCCAGTCCCTTGTATTTGCTCTACAGCTTTAAAGGGATTTTATATTTTTTATCCTCCTTCATCCTTATGCCAGCTTTGGTAGGTAGGCAGAGCAAGTACTATTCTCATTTTACAGAAGAAGAAAGTGTTTGTCAGAAAAGTTAAGTGACTTGCTCAGTGTTACACAACTAAGTGCTTGGGCTAGTTGTAGATCCTAGTTCTTTTGACTGTTAGTCTAATGCTGCCTCTGCTACACTGCTTTACTTAAATGCTTAATGAACTCAGATGGAGGAACATATAACATTAATAGTTTATTGATATTTCAGTAGATATTCATTCATATAATTATAGGAAAAATAGAAAAGAAAACCATTGCGGCATGTATTAAGATATTTGTAAGGAAGTTTAAATTTGCCTTGAGAACAAAAAGACAGTGGAGCACTGATAATTAAGACTATGTGCGTAGAAGATGAATATAAATTGGGAAAGTTTTCTTTTTTTTTCATGCTTCTAATCATCTTGAATCAATAGACATACATGTATAGCAAATGAAAATTAAGGCCTGATTTTCCCTTTCAGGGAGTTGTTGATTGGAAGAAAATGCTCTTTTTTCCAATTGCTTTTGGTATGATCTGTAATAGATTTGCAGTTCCTGTCTTCATTCCATTTCATTCTTTTGCTCTGCATAGTGTAACACTAGTTTGGAATATAAAATGCAAAGACATTTATGCAAAATATTTTATAAAGGCAACTAGGTAATTTTTTTTTAATGTGTATATTTACAGAAAAATTTTCTATCTACGAGTGAAACAGATCCATCTACTCTGGGAGTCTCTCTTCCTATTGGTGAGAGGTTATCTGCTAAGGTAGGTGGATAGGAGTAGTTATTGTGGGTAGCAGTTTTCCGAGGCATGAAAATCTTAAAAGAACACACTGTTGATTTAAATGCAAATGGAAGATCACATCATTCCCCCATACTTGAATATATTTCTTTTTCAAAAATCCGTGGAGAGTCACATTTATGCTGTTTAAATTTTTTTTGGAACACAGCATTTGTAACCATCTAATTATATATTTCTTTTTTTTTGGTTTGTTTATAATTATATATTTCTTTAATATGTTGATTATTTTGCGGTATTCAGTTATACTTAACTGAATACTCAGAATTTATTTTTTTTCAGCATTGGTTTCTGACTGAAGTTTATGCTATGTAACACAGTTGGAATGAGTGGATGTGAGGTTATAGTGAGCTTTTATTATGCAGGGTGAGGGTAAGAGTTCTTTGAATGTCACTCCATATTCCTTAGAGATGAAAGTGATAAAGCACTGTACACCTCTTGTAGAGACTCAGTTCTCACCAGGGTATGTCAGACATCATGAAATAGTATATAAGACAAAATGGATGGTTAATAAATTTTGAAAGACAGACCTAATTTCTTTAATACATTTTTAGATCGTGTTGTTTTAGTAATATGGGAAGTATTAAAATTTAAGAACATTTTCTAATCATATATGTGTTTTAACAGAATATTTCATTATAATATTTTAGAATCTATGATAATTGTACCTTTTTAAGTTTAAAATATGAAGGATCCTTTTTTTTTTTTTTTTTTTTTAATTTTTTATTGGATTTTAGGTTTTGGGGTACATGAGCAGAGCATGCAAGACAGTTGCGAAGATACACACATGGCAGTGTGCTTTGCTTTTCTTCTCCCCTTCACCCACATTTGGCATTTCTCCCCAGGCTATCCCTCCCCACCTCCCCCTCCCACTTGCCCTCCCCTTTCCCCCCAATAGACCCCAGTGTTTAGTACTCCCCTTTCTGTGTCCGTGTGTTCTCATTTGTCATCACCCGCCTATGAGTGAAAATATGCGGTGTTTCATTTTCTGTTCTTGTGTCAGTTTGCTGAGGATGATGTTCTCCAGATTCATCCATGTCCCTACAAACGACACAAACTCATCATTTCTGATTGCTGCATAATATTCCATGGTGTATATGTGCCACATTTTTCCAATCCAGTCTATTACCAGTGGGCATTTGGGTTGATTCCAGGTCTTTGCTATTGTAAACAGTGCTGCAATGAACATTCGTGTACATGTGTCCTTATAGTAGAACGATTTATAGTCTTTTGGATATATACCCAGTAATGGGATTGCTGGGTCAAATGGAATTTCTATTTCTAAGGCCTTGAGGAATCGCCACACTGTCTTCCACAATGGTTGAACTAATTTACACTCCCACCAACAGTGTAAAAGTGTTCCTTTTTCTCCACATCCTCTCCAGCATCTGTTGTCTCCAGATTTTTTAATGATCGCCATTCTAACTGGCGTGAGATGGTATCTCAATGTGGTTTTGATTTGCATCTCTCTGATGACCAGTGACGATGAGCATTTTTTTCATATGATTGTTGGCCTCATATATGTCTTCTTTCGTAAAGTGTCTGTTCATATCCTTTGCCCACTTTTGAATGGGCTTGTTTGTTTTTTTCCTGTAAATCCGTTTGAGTTCTTTGTAAATTCTGGATATCAGCCCTTTGTCAGATGGGTAAACTGCAAAAATTTTTTCCCATTCTGTTGGTTGCCGATCCACTCTAGTGACTGTTTCTTTTGCCGTGCAGAAGCTGTGGAGTTTCATTAGGTCCCATTTGTCTATTTTGGCTTTTGTTGCCAATGCTTTTGGTGTTTTGTTTATGAAGTCCTTGCCTACTCCTATGTCCTGGATAGTTTTGCCTAGATTTTCTTCTAGGGTTTTTATGGTGCCAGGTCTTATGTTTAAGTCTTTAATCCATCTGGAGTTAATTTTAGTGTAAGGTGTCAGGAAGGGGTCCAGTTTCCACTTTCTGCACATGGCTAGCCAGTTTTCCCAACACCATTTGTTAAACAGGGAATCCTTTCCCCCTTGCTTGTTTTTGTCAGGTTTATCAAAGATTGTATAGTTGTAGATATGTTGTGTTGCCTCCGGTGCCTCTGTTTTGTTCCATTGGTCTATATCTCTGTTTTGGTACCAGTACCATGCTGTTTTGATTACTGTAGCCTTGTAGTATAGTTTGAAATCCGGTAGTGTGATGCCCCCTGCTGTGTTCTTTTTGCTTAGAATTGACTTGGCTATGCAGGCTCTCTTTTGGTTCCATATGAAGTTCATGGTGTTTTTTTCCAGTTCTGTGAAGAAAGTCAATGGTAGCTTGATGGGGATAGCATTGATTCTGTAAATTACTTTGGGTAGTATAGCCATTTTCACGATATTAATTCTTCCTAACCATGAACATGGAATGTTTCTCCATCTGTTTGTGTCCTCTGTGATTTCGTTGAGCAGTGGTTTGTAGTTCTCCTTGAAGAGGTCCCTTACGTTCCTTGTGAGTTGTATTCCAAGGTATTTTATTCTTTTTGTAGCAATTGCGAATGGCAGTTCGTTCTTGATTTGGCTTTCTTTAAGTCTGTTATTGGTGTAGACGAATGCTTGTGATTTTTGCACATTGATTTTATATCCTGAGACTTTGCTGAAGTTGCTTATCAGTTTCAGGAGTTTTTGGGCTGAGGCAATGGGGTCTTCTAGGTATACTATCATGTCGTCTGCAAATAGAGACGATTTGGCTTCCACCTTTCCTATTTGAATACCCTTTATTTCTTTTTCTTGCCTGATTGCTCTGGCTAGAACTTCCAGTACTATATTGAATAGGAGTGGTGAAAGAGGGCATCCTTGTCTAGTGCCAGATTTCAAAGGGAATGCTTCCAGTTTTTGCCCATTCAGTATGATATTGGCTGTTGGTTTGTCATAAATAGCTTTTATTACTTTGAGATACGTTCCATCGATACCGAATTTATTGAGGGTTTTTAGCATAAAGGGCTGTTGAATTTTGTCAAATGCCTTCTCTGCATCAATTGAGATAATCATGTGGTTTTTGTTTTTGGTTCTGTTTATGTGGTGAATTACGTTGATAGACTTGCGTATGTTGAACCAGCCTTGCATCCCCGGGATGAATCCTACTTGATCATGATGAATAAGTTTTTTGATTTGCTATTGCAATTGGCTTGCCAATATTTTATTGAAGATTTTTGCATCTATGTTCATCATGGATATTGGCCTGAAGTTTTCTTTTCTCGTTGGGTCTCTGCCGGGTTTTGGTATCAGAATGATGCTGGTCTCATAAAATGATTTGGGAAGTATTCCCTCTTTTTGGATTGTTTGAAATAGTTTTAGAAGGTATGGTACCAGCTCCTCCTTGTGTGTCTGGTAGAATTCGGCTGTGAACCCGTCTGGACCTGGGCTTTTTTTTGTGTGGTAGGCTCTTAATTGCTGCCTCAACTTCAGACCTTGTTATTGGTCTATTCATAGTTTCAGCTTCCTCCTGGTTTAGGCTTGGGAGGACACAGGAGTCCAGGAATTTATCCATTTCTTCCAGGTTTACTAGTTTATGCGCATAGAGTTGTTTGTAATATTCTCTGATGATGGTTTGAATTTCTGTGGAATCTGTGGTGATTTCCCCTTTATCATTTTTTATTGCATCTATTTGGTTGTTCTCTCTTTTATTTTTAATCAATCTGGCTAGTGGTCTGTCTATTTTGTTGATCTTTTCAAAAAACCAGCTCTTGGATTTATTGATTTTTTGAAGGGTTTTTCGTGTCTCAATGTCCTTCAGCTCAGCTCTGATCTTAGTAATTTCTTGTCTTCTGCTGGGTTTTGAGTTTTTTTGATCTTGCTCCTCTAGCTCTTTCAATTTTGACGATAGGGTGTCAATTTTGGATCTCTCCATTCTCCTCATATGGGCACTTATTGCTATATACTTTCCTCTAGAGACTGCTTTAAATGTGTCCCAGAGGTTCTGGCATGTTGTGTCTTCGTTCTCATTGGTTTCGAAGAACTTCTTTATTTCTGACTTCATTTCATTGTTTACCCAGTCAACGTTCAAGAGCCAGTTGTTCAGTTTCCATGAAGCTGTGTGGTTCTGGGTCGGTTTCTGTATTCTGAGTTCTAACTTGATTGCACTATGGTCTGAGAGGCTGTTTGTTATGATTTCAGTTGTTTTGCATTTGTTGAGCAGTGCTTTACTTCCAATTATGTGGTCAATTTTAGAGTAGGTGTGATGTGGTGCTGAGAAGAATGTGTATTCTGTGGATTTGGGGTGGAGAGTTCTGTAAATGTCTATCAGGTTTGCTTGCTCCAGGTCTGAGTTCAAGCCCTGGATATCCTTGTTGATTTTCTGTCTGGTTGATCTGTCTAGTATTGACAGTGGAGTGTTAAAGTCTCCCACAATTATTGTGTGGGAGTCTAAGTCCTTTTGTAGGTCATTAAGTAGTTGCCTTATGTATCTGGGTGCTCCTGCATTGGGTCCATATATGTTTAGGATCGTTAGCTCTTCTTGTATCAATCCTTTTACCATTATGTAATGGCCTTCTTTGTCTCTTTTGATCTTTGTTGCTTTAAAGTCTATTTTATCAGAGATGAGAATTGCAACTCCTGCTTTTTTTTTTGCTCTCCATTTGCTTGGTAAATCTTCCTCCATCCCTTTATTTTGAGCCTTTGTGTATCCTTGCATGTGAGATAGGTTTCCTGTATACAGCACACTGATGGGTTTTGGATTTTTATCCAATTTGCCAGTCTGTGTCTTTTGATTGGTGCATTTAGTCCATTTACATTTAGGGTTAATATTGTTATGTGTGAATTTGATACTGCCATTTTGATGCTAAGTGGCTGTTTTGCCTGTTAGTTGTTGTAGATTCTTCATTATGTTGATGCTCTTTAGCATTCAGTGTGATTTTGGAATGGCTGGTACTGGTTGATCCTTTCTATGTGTAGTGCCTCTTTTAGGAGCTCTTGTAAAGCAGGCCTGGTGGTGACAAAAATCTCCGAGTACTTGCTTGTTCGCAAAGGATTTTATTTTTCCTTCACTTCTGAAGCTCAGTTTGGCTGGATATGAAATTCTGGGTTGAAAGTTCTTTTCTTTAAGTATGTTGAATATTGGCCCCCACTCTCTTTTGGCTTGTAGTGTTTCTGCCGAGAGATCTGCTGTGAGTCTGATGGGCTTCCCTTTGTGGGTGACCCGACCTTTCTCTCTGGCTGCCCTTAGTATTCTCTCCTTTATTTCAACCCTGTTGAATCTGACGATTATGTGCCTTGGGGTTGCTCTTCTTGCAGAATATCTTTGTGGTGTTCTCTGTATTTCCTGCAATTGAGTGTTGACCTGTCTTGCTACGTGGGGGAAATTTTCCTGGATAATGTCCTGAAGAGTATTTTCCAGCTTGGATTCATTCTCTTCGTCCCCTTCTGGTACACCTATCAAACGTAGGTTAGGTCTTTTCACATAGTCCCACATTTCTTGGAGACTTTGTTCATTCCTTTTTGTGCTTTTTTCTCTAATCTTGGTTTCTCGTTTAATTTCATTGAGTTGGTCTTCGACTTCAGATATTCTTTCTTCTGCTTGGTCAATTCGGCTATTGAAACTTGTGCATGCTTCGCGAAGTTCTCGTATTGTGTTTTTCAGCTCCTTTAATTCATTCATATTCCTCTCTAAGTTATCCATTCTTGTTATCATTTCCTCATATCTTCTTTTAAGTTCCTTAGTTTCTTTGCATTGATTTAATACATGTTCTTTTCGCTCACAGAATTTTCTCATTATCCACCTTCTGAAGTCTAATTCCGTCATTTCGTCACAGTCATTCTCCGTCCAGCTTTGTTCCCTTGCTGGTGAGGAGTTTTGGTCCTTTCTGTGAGGCAAGGTGTTCTGGTTTCGGGTGTTTTCCTCCTTTTTTCTCTGGTTTCTTCCCATCTTTGTGGATTTGTCCGCTTGTCGTCTGCGTAGTTGCTGACTTTTCGATTGGGTCTCTGAGTGGATACCCAGAATGTTGATGATGAAGTATTTCTGTTGCTTGTTTTTTCTTCTACCAGTCTAGCGCCTTCGCTGTACGACTGCTGAGGTCCGCTCCAGACCCTGCTTGTCTGGGGTGCACCTCTAGCAGCTGTGGCACAGCGAGGGATGCTACCAGTTTCTTTTTCTGCTATCTTTGTCCCAGGATGATGCCTGCCTAATGTCAGTCTTTTGGATATAGAGGGGTCAGGGAGTTGCTTGAGGAGACAGTTTGTGCTTTATAGGAGCTCAATTGCTGAGCTGTGAGCTCTGTTGTTCATTCAGGGCTGTTAGGCTGCTATGTTTGATTCTGCTGCACCAGAGCTCATTAAAAAAACCCTTTTTTTTCTCAAATGCTCTGTGTTGAGGGGTTTGGGCTTTATTTTTGGATGTCCGTTGAGGTCCTGCCCAGCTAGGACACAGACTAGCCACTGTTTGCCTGCCGAGGCTCCGCCCTGCTCTTGTGAGGCTCGCCCTGGCTCCGCTGTTCTGCTGTGTTTTCCGCCACGCCCTGCGGCGGAGTCTCTCTGTTGTAGCGGGTTGCCTCGGCTACGGCAGGCTGCGTCAGCAGTGGGCGTGTATCTCAGTAGGGACGGGTTGCCTCGGCAACGGCTGGCTGCGTCAGCAATGGGCGTGTATCTCAGTTGGGGCGGGTTGCCTCGGTAATGGTGGACGCCCCTCCCCCACAGAGCGTCTCGGGCCGTCTGCACGGGGCTTGTTTGAAATCGCGGTTTTGTTCGTCCCACTAGGCCACCCCTAACGCTCTGTCCCTGCAATCCCCTGGGCTGGCCCACTGTCCAAGTCTAGCTCAGTCTCAAGTCCAGCCCTCTCACATCTCCGGTTGCCGGTTCAACAGGGCACCCGGACAGGCGCGCCCTGCGCGGAGCGCTGGGCGGGGCTGGCCGCCGCCACCCCGGCTGCCGGCTTCACCAGGCGGAGGTTCTGCCTGGCGTCCCGCGTCTCCTCTTCACTTGGGAATTTCCCTGTTCCGTGGGCAACAAAGATCAGTCTGGAAATGCAGCTCTGACTCACCTCTCCGCAGACTCAACGCGAGCTCCAATCCTGGGTTGTTCTCACAGCGCCATCTTGAGTCCTCTCCGAAGGATCCTTTTTTAACCTTGGGAAGGAAATGGTTAGCAGCAGGTGCTTTGGAGGAGTGGGTGGGGCATTAGGAGAAGGGAGGTGTCCCTAACCCCATCATATCTCTTTGGAAACATGCTAATGACAGATCTCCTGGCAAACACATTCATTATATTTACTAGTGGGAGAGATTTATCTCTGAATGCTTTTGGCAAAATAAACTTGGTTTGTCTAGGATTGCTGTTGGTGATCAAAGCCGGAATCTGTGGATTTATATGGCATGGCTCTTTGGAAAATGTCATCTAAGCTTTGTTAACTATTGGAGTATAAAATCAAGGTGTTTCATGTACAAAGCAACTCTCTTCTATTCGAAACCTCATGTATTAATGGACCGAAGCATATAGCTGTGCATATTCTCATGTGACAAGAAAGACCTGGGGAGCTGTATATGGGTGTCCTCAAACCTCTTCCCACTTCTCCCATACCTTTCAGTGACTTCTGTCCTTGAAATTATTAGTAAAGTTTGATTTGAGTATGAATTCTGATTGTATGATTCAGATTTGACATTCTGATATGAGATTAAGGTATTTTTTTCTTGAAGTTGAAGTTAACATTACCTTTTTATTTTTATTTTAAGGAAAGGTTGAAACTTGAACGTAACAAAGAATATAATCAGTTTCTCAGGGGCAAGGAACAGTCCAGTGAAAAGTTCAGACAGGTGGAAAAGAGTACTGAGGTGGGTTTTGCTTTTAAAGTAAATCTTTACTACCACAGATTGAATATTTTGTACTTGAAAAGGTTTTTCTATTTTAGACATTTTACTTATTTTTTTTGTAAATACTTGCAAAATTAAGCCAAATTAAACCAAATACAAGGCATTTAAATATTTAGTTTTGGAAGTTGTTTTATCTCACATTGAAGAACTTACTCTACCTTTTAACATTTGATTGGGGAGATTTAATTTTAGAGAATCAGTTTTGGTAAGTGATTTTCATTTATTTTTAAACATTAAATAACTTTTTGTGTTGACAATTTCTAGCTATATTTCTTTTTTCAAATGTAAGGATCAATTAGCCATACATGGTGGGAGGCACTTGTAATCCCAACTACCTGGGAGGCTGAGGCAGGAGAATTGCTTGAACCTGGGAGGTGGAGGTAGCAGTGAACTGAGATTGTGCCACTGCACTCCAGCCTGGGTAACAGAGCAGGACTCTGTCCGGAAAAAAAAAAAAAACATCAAGGATGATTGATATTTCTAGGGCCAAAACATTTTCCAGTTTCTTTATCCTTTGTGTTGAGAATTTAATTTGAATATTTTGAAGTAGTATCTCTTGGGATAGGAATTTGCATTTAGTTTAACCTCTCTTTTTATAGCACTTACCAGTTTTACTGTTGTCTGTCTACTGATACAAATAAGTTTTATTGAAAGGTAAAATTCCGCCCCCCCACTGTTTTGTTTTTTTTTTTTTGAGACAGAGTCTTGCTCTGTCGCCCAGGCTGGAGCATAGCAGTGTAATCTCAGCTCACTGCAACCTCCACCTCCTGGGTTCAAGTGATTTTCCTGTCTCAGCCTCCTGAGTAGCTAGGACTACAGGTGTGTGCCACCATGCCCGGCTAATTTTTTGTATTTTTAGTAGAGGTGGGGTTTCACCATGTTGGCCAGGCTGGTATTGAACTCCTGACCTCAAGCAATCTACCCATCTCAGCCTCCCAAAGTGCTGGGATTACAAGTGTGAGCCACTGCACCTGGCCACAGAAAAGTAAAATTTTCTTGAAGTTTTCTTCTAAAAAAATATGGTTGATTAAACAAACATTAAGAGTTGATGTGACAGAGTAAGTATTAACTGAGAGTTTAATTACCTTGTAAGAGATGGTTTCCCATCAAGTTTTTTTTCTTTTAATTCAACAGGCCAAGAGTCAAAGAAATAAAAAACCTATTGGTCAAGTTAAGCCTGATCTAACTTCACAAATACAGACATCTTGTGAAAATTCAGAGGGTCCTAGAAAAGATGTCTTAACTCCTTCAGAGGCATATGAAGAACTTCTGAACCCAAGTCGACTAGAGGAGGACAGATACCGACAACTAGATGATGAAACTGAATTAAGGAATAGAATTAATAAAGCAAATGAAGAAGTGGGCATTTCCAGCCTAAAACATCAAAGGTTTGCAAGCAAGGCTGGCATTCCAGATAGAAGATTTCACAGATTTAATGAGAATTGTGTTTTTGATAGACATTATCATAGACCAGACCAATATCCTGAAGTAAGTGAAGAAATGGATGAGAGGTTTAGATATGAAAGTGATTTTGATAGAAGACTTTTGAGAGTGTATACAAAGGACAGGTATTTATAACCTCGTTTTTATTTTCTTCATTTGTTTAATATAGCAAATTAATTAATGGTTAATATTTGCTGTTGTTACTTTTTATCATACTAGAGAGAAGCAGTTTCGATTTATCATATTTAATTAATTATAAGATGCTCTCAGTTTTAAGATGCATCATTATTTTATGTCTCACTGAGGGGAAAAAGAAAATACTCAAAGTGGGGCCCTATTATAAAGTTGGAAAACCGAAAGGCTACACCCTTTATGTTAAAGTATGTGAATGGGAAGTAGGCATTTTCACAGAAAGGGACAGAGAGCAAACGTCCACATCCCAACCTTTGCAGTGAGTGGACAGTAAAGATACAAACAACCTTCCCTGAGAATTTGAAGTGTAAATTAGTATTGATTCAAGTTCACAGTTTGAATTCATACTGCCTGTAGTGTCCATAGAAACCTTGGGGCACGAATTCAGAGTTTTCTCAATTCACAGTGCTCTTGGATGAGGGGAAAAGTAACTCTGCAGTAACTTGACATAAAACCAGGTCATTGACTATTCTGACTTCAGATACTAAAATGCATGGCTGGGCATGGTGGCTCATGCCTGTAATCCTGCACTTTTGGAGGCCGAGGCCTTGGGGGGGGTCACTTGAGGTCAGTAGTTTGAGACCAGCATGACTAACATGATGAAATCCTGACTCTACTAAAAATACAAAAATTGTCCAGGTGTGGTGGCATGTGCCTGTAATCCCAGCAACTTGAGAGGCTGAAGCAGGAGAATCGCTTGAATCTGGAGGTAGAGGTTGCAGTGAACCGAGATTGTGTCACTGCACTCCAGCCTGGGCGACAGAGCGAGACTCTCTCAAAAAAAGAAAAATAAAATATGTGAAAAAAGGATACCTTAAAGTAGATGAAATATAGTTTATTCCTGTATTCATAAGTTTTTTCAGTCAGATTTTCAGATGGTTTTCAGTTCCTTTGAATATTTTTGTGACACTATACCATTTCATAACTGCACAAGGAGGTTTTATTGTTGTGTTTATCTTAATATTACACATGAAACTTGCCATCATTTAACCTAACTTGTTTTGGAGACAGAAATACCTCAGGGTCGGCCAGGCGCAGTGGCTCAAGCCTGTAATCCCAGCCCTTTGGGAGGCCGAGGTGGGTGGATCACAAGGTCAAGATATCGAGACCATCCTGGTCAACATGGTGAAACCCCATCTCTACTAAAGATACAAAAAATTAGCTGGGCATGGTGGCGCGTGCCTGTAATCTCAGCTACTCAGGAGGCTGAGGCAGGAGAATTGCCTGAACCCAGGAGGCGGAGGTTGCGGTGAGCCGAGATCGCGCCATTGCACTCCAGCCTGGGTAACGAGCGAAACTCCGTCTCAAAAAAAAAAAAAAAAAAAAAAAAGAAATACCTCAGGGTCTCATATTTGTCGTTGACTTGTTTACTTGACAAGCGTCAAACCTACATTTTGAGCAGTTTATGGGAACTGCTTTGTCAAAATAGATTACTTTTTAAGTATTTTAGAAAATTTTTTCAAGGGTAATACTGTACATTCAGGATTCTAATTATTAATTATAATACAAAGCTTTTACAGTTCTTTGCCTTCTGTATTCTGTAGCTGTTACATCCTGCTCACACAATATTTTTAATATTTACCCTGATTTAGGTAATTTGGAGGATTAGAATTTGAAAATGCCAATTATAGTTTCTCTGATCTGAATCTAATTGTTTATACTTCAGAAAATTCTCCAAATCCTAGAACGTTACATTTGAAAATGCTTACATATGAAGGTAGTTAAAGGATGCCTAAACTAAAATAACTCTCAGTTGGGGAACTTAGTTGCAAGTGATCTTGCAGGATGGGTGGTGATGTCTCCTTTGTACATCAGAACTTCTTTTCCCTTTATGGTGTTTACCGTTAGGGTGAATGTAATGCATACCCTTTTAAGTTTGGAATTTTAAGAAACAAATTATATTGGTTGCTGCTTTTTAAAAAAATATATTTTAATCTATTACTTTTATAATTATACCCTGTGATAATTTTATGCATGAACTCACAAATGAATTTCATCCTTTTTGAGAACTCTTATCTTCTTATGTATTCCATAAATCAAATGAACTCTTTTTATATAAGCTTTCCCAAATACTATTTTAAGAATAAACACGAAGTTGAGTGAGAATAATTCGTGTTAAACACTTTAAAGTGTTTCTTCAATATGTAAATTATATCTTATGTATTTTTATTTTGTTTATATATCAACTCTGACATCTCCAAATGTTTTTTCGTATGTGTCTCTTTAACAATTGCAGTTAAAATTGGATTTCTTTATTTCAGATTTATAGATTCCTTATTTCCAAACCAAAATAAAAAACTTCAGTCATTCAGTAGTTTATAAATAGACTGGTTGGTAGGAGAAATGACTGTATTTGTGAAGTTTTGAGGCTAAAGAAATGTGGAACTGAGTTTTATCTCTTACTCCAAGCATTTATTCTTAATGTACTGTTCAGTCTTGATCAGAAGTTCTAGACAAAAATTAATTATAATGTATTATGAGAAGTACACAGTTAATTTTCCTTCATTCTTCTAAGTTTTCTTTCTTCCTTAAAAGTCAGCATCTAGTAAATTCTAGTTTTGGTTTAAAATAGTTTTTTATTTTTGGTTTCAATTTTTCTCCACCCTATAAACTTTTTCATATACCATAATATATTTATTAATGAAATATTTCCCCATATTTAAATATGAGAAAGCTAAAACTTTTCTCAGAAAATGTTACCTTCCTAAAGTCATATCATGAATCATTGACAGTGTTCTTAAATAATTAACAAGGTGGTTAACACTGTAATTGACAGTTGCATTCTGTGTGCGCATGTGTTTTATTTATGCATATTAACCAATTTAAGTAAAATTTATTATGTTTTAGGAGCTTTCTAAAGTCGAATGTAATAGCATTTTCTATGATACTTTGAAATTTATAGGCTCTATTAAAATGTAATCCTAGTCTTTATTATTTATTAACTTGAACTGTAGAAGTTAGTATTTTACTTTATTATGTTTTACTTTAACCAATGTTAATGAACAAAAGAAGTTTTACTTCTTTTTTTTTTCAGACAGAGTCTTGCTCTCTTTCCCAGGCTAGAGAGCAGTGGCACGATCTCAGCTCACTGCGGCCTTCGTCTCCTGGGTTCAAGTAATTCTCCTGCCTCAGCATCTCAGGTAGCTGGGACTAGAGGTGCATGCTGCCATGCCTGGCTAATTTTTGTATTTTTAGTAGAGATGGGGTTTTATCATGTTGACCAGGATGGTCTTGATCTCTTTATTTTGTGATCCACCTGCCTTGGCCTTCCATAGTGTTGAGATTACAGGTGTTAGCCACCAAGCCCACCTCAGAAGTTTCACTTCTTAATACCCAAAGAAACCAGGTACAGGGTAGATGGTGTTGAAAATAAAAAAAAAAAAAAATTACTTTATATTTACAAAGTAAATATAAAAATTGGGAAAGAATTGAAAACAAAGCTCAAAATGGTGGTTCACCGTTAGCATCTCAGAGTTTTTCTTTAGCTTCTATTTTTTTTTAAAGATTGACGTATTAATTTTTCGGATAAACTTGGCCTCTATTCTATACCTGGTTTCTTTAGGTATTAAGATTTAAAATTTTTACCTGATAAACTAGAGTTGTTGACTCATGTCTTCAAGGAAATAGGGAGAAAAAGATTTTTTTTGTTTAACACACTTTTTTATTAGTAGGACGGTGAAACCATTTTGCAATTATTTTATTCCCTCAATCTTATCTGATTTGCATTTCAAAGGAAGTAAACTCTTTTATGAGGTCTGTCCCTTTCTAACAAAACCCAATACTTAAGGTGTGGTAAGTGAACCTATATATTAAAAGCCATAGAATATATAGATAGATTTTCTACGGCTATACCACCTTGGAACATGCCTGATCTTGTTTGATATTGGAAACTAAGTAGGCTCAGACCTGGTTAGTAATTTGATGGGAGAGCATTTAGATAGATTACTTCTGGATCACAAGGATAGTCTTAATCTGGTACTCTCACAGTGAAACAGAAAGGGCTTCCAGGGACAGACTGAACCTAAACTGAGCCCCTCAACTGTGATTAGAATTAAATGGTTCTTATGCATTTAGTGAGTGCATTACTTTTGGATATTATCATCTGTCTGTTTCCCGTATGTTGAGGTGATTGAATAGAGAGGCAGCCATGTCACACTGCTGATTCTTACCAGTTGCTTTCTTCAGAGAGGACTTTTTGTGTTCAGAAAATGTTATACAACAATGAATTGTAAGACCATACAAGCTGTTTAAGCCCGAGTGCAGTGGCTCACACCTGTAATTCCAGCACTTTGGGAGGCCGAGTGAGGTCAGGAGATCGAGACCATCCTGGCTAACAAGGTAAAACCCCGTCTCTACCAAAAATACAAAAAATTAGCTGGGTGTGGTGGCAGGTGCCTATTGTCCCAGCTACCCAGGAGGCTGAGACAGGAGAATTGCTTGAACCCAGGAGGTGGAGGTTGCAGTGAGCCGAGATTGCGCTACTGCACTCCAGCTTGGGTGATGGAGCAAGACTCCATCTCAAAAAAAAAAAAAAAACATTAAACTATTTAAGTGAACTAACAGAGCTAGTTCGGGGTGATTAAATGCTAAATTTATTAGAAATATAAAGGGCATTTTAGTAAATGAAGGAAATGGCATAAAAATCGTAGGGATATTTTAATAGAGAATAAGGTGGCCAACTTTCCAACCTATAGTTTGGCTTTTCAGCCTACGTTCCCTTCAAGGTTTCTTTTTTTAGGTCTTATATTGGTAATTTTAAAAAATGATAAAATCTCTGTTTGTAAACAGCAATTCTTCCCTGACTTAAAAAAGGTAAGCAAATCATATGTCATTTTATAAAATTGCATAGGATCCCTAACATTTTATTATCTTTTTAGTGAAATGCTTATTTCTACTCTTTTTTAGCCTCTTTAAATTTCAGTCTTGATCTTATACTTATTGGTAACAAAGTAGACTTATAATCTTGTTAATGATTTTATTTTTCTTTAGTGAAAGATATACCTTATAACTTCTTTCATATGAGCTGTTCACTAGGAAATCTTTTGATTTTGCTATAGATTTTAGGAAAGAGACCTTAACCTTATACATAAATAAAATCATTTCTTAAATTAATTTAGAATGAACTTTGAAAATGACCTCTTGTGTTTATGATGTCTGCTTTATTATCTATATATACTGAAGAGCCTGTAAAACATTTTTTAGTGTGGGTGCAGTGGTATAAAGATAAGCTCTAATTACGAATCTATATATTATCTTCAGACAACTAAAAATTCAGGAAGCCACAAACTTTATGTAAATTTTAGAAAAAAACTTTTGTATATATAACTGGCCTTTAATTCTGGGACCCCAAGTTATGCTTTTAAGAATTTGTAATTTTAAATTTCTATTAAAATTTTTTTTTATTATTTTATTTTTTGAGACGGAATTTCGCTCTTCTTACCCAGGCTGCGCAATGGCGCAATCTCGGCTCACCGCAACCTCCGCCTCCTGGGTTCAGGCAGTTCTCCTGCCTCAGCCTCCTGAGTAGCTGGGATTACAGGCATGCGCCACCATACCCAGCTAATTTTTTGTATTTTTTTAGTAGAGACGGGGTTTCACCATGTTGACCAGGATGGTCTCGATTTCTTGACCTCGTGATCCTACTGCCTCAGCCTCCCAAAGTGCTGGGATTACAGGCTTGAGCCACCGTGTCCGGCCCAATTTTTTTTTTTTTTTTTGGAGTTAGAGTTTTGCTCTTGTAACCCAGGCTGGAGTGCAATGGCATGATCTCAGCTTACTGTAACCTCTGCCTCCCAAGTTCAAGCAATTCTCCTGCCTCAGTCTCCGAGCAGCTGTGATGACAGGTGCCTGCCACCACACCTGGCTAATTTTTGTATTTTTAGTAGAGTCGGGGTTTCACCAGGTTGGCCAGGCTGGTCTCGAACTCCAGACCTCAGGTGATCTACCCACCTCAGCCTCCCAAAGTGTTGGGATTACAGGCATGAGCCACCATGCCTGCCCTTTTGTTTTGTTTTGTTTCTTGAGACAGGGTCTTACTCTGTTGCCCAGGTTGGAGTGCAGTGGTATAGTCTTGGCTCACTGCAACCTCTGCCTTCCGGGCTAAGCAGTCCTCCCACCTTAGCCTCCCGATAGCTGGGACTACAGGCATGAGCCGCTGTGCCCGGCCTCTGTTAAAATAAAAAAAAAACCAAAAACATATGTATATATATATGTATACACATTTTTTTGTGTGTGTATGTAGTTACCTCTTTACTACAGTGAATTTACTTTTTATGTTGTGTTGTGGGTTCTCAAGAAAACCTCTAATTTGGGTGAATTGCTAGGAGGATCCATAAGGACTTTGGATATAGTTGTACTCACAGTTATAACTTATTACAGCGAAAGGATCCAAAACAAAATCAGCAAAAGGTAAAAGGCACATGGAACAAAGTTTGGAGGAAACCAGTCATAAGCTTCTAAGGGTTCTCTCTCAGTGGAGTCACACAGCGGATGCTTAATTTCTCCAGCATTGAATTGTAACACTATAAGGAATGCCTACTAGGAAAGCTCTTTAGACACTCAGTGCCCAAGGTTTTTATTGGGAGATGGTTACATAGGCACCCTGTTCCTGGCATGGCATGTACCAGTATTCCAGAATACTTCTGAAGAAAAGCAGGTGGTTAGCATAAACTATAGTTGATACAGTTTAAGCGCAATGAGCTGCTCTTACCAGTTCTGGCGGTGCTTGTATCTCTCCCAAAATCTATATTCCCAGGTACCAGCCAATAGTCAACTGTACATTCAGGCTTTTCTAAAGATAGGCAGTCTCAGGCCTGGTCTGTTAACTCTTTTCTGCATTATATATAAATATCCAGTATAACTAAATCTGGTTGCCTGGCATTGTTAATTACAGATTTGAATTTGAGTTTGTATTTAGTTTTGTTAAGTAGTAGATGTAGGGAATGACACTGAACTGATGTGTCATTCACACATCTGAATGTATGTGTGTGATATGTGATCAGTTGAAAAATTGAAGCCATTTATACGTTATGCCATGTCATGGTTACTAAGATTAAAATTCCAAATAGTGTTTTCTCCACAGAAGATATTGACAGTGGCTTATATGATGGAAACAAGTGAAAAAAGAATTTTATATGCTGGTTCTGTGGAGAGTGAGAAGTTTCTTTTTTTTTTCCTGAAAATTGCCATTTTTTTGTAATCTGATAATGAAATTCACCTAAAATACTGAATACTACTTTAACAACCATATTTCTCTGTAATAGTCCTCTTGAGAAAGACCATATAGTTGGGTAACTCAACAGCCATGTAGAGAAACTTTGAAATGCTTACGATATGCTGATTTTGACAGATGCTAATAAGTGTTGGTTTCTCTGGTATGAGAAATTAATCTAAAAATAAAATCAGTGTTTGCCAAATGGAAAAAAGATTGATTAAAGAACATTTTTTCATTATTATTTTCCAAAAGGATTTTTAAAGAAGAAAATAGGAAACATGCTAATCTTTCTTTTTGTTGTTTATGACTTTGTAAGTAAAGATAGCTAATCATTTTCTACCCATGGATCAGCCTGTTCATGTTTTCCATTCACATGTCAGTAACATTTGTTTTTTTTCATGCGATTTACAGTTAGCAAATGTCATGGTTTGCTACGTTTGATTTAACTTATTGATAAGACTGCTGCTATATTTTTAAGTTAAAAAGGTTATATATACAATTAAATAATTCATAGGCTCTATGAATTTTGATTTTAAAAATGTTCTTGGGCAAAGTGTGGTGGCTCAAGCCTGTAATCTCCCAGCACTTTGGGAGGCTGAGGCGGGTGGATCACGAGGTCGAGAGATCGAGACCATCCTGGTCAACATGGTGAAACCCCGTCTCTACTAAAAATACAAAAAATTAGCTGGGCATGGTGGCGTGTGCCTGTAATCTCAGCTACTCAGGAGGCTGAGGCAGGAGAATTGCCTGAACCCAGAAGGCAGAGGTTGCGGTGAGCCGAGATCGCGCCATTGCACTCCAGCCTGGGTAACAAGAGTGAAACTCCATCTCAAAAAAAAAAAAAAAAAGTTCTCATTTTGAATTTTGACTATAAACTTTGTGAATGTGTCTGAATACCCACCTGCTGGGTCTTCACTTTAAAGTGAATAATAAAAAAGTGTTAGTATATATTTGTAGTTTCAAAAATAAAAATTTCCAGAAATTATATTAAAATAATTTATAATCTTTTAGAAAAGATTATTACGTTTAAACTCTTAGTGTCTCATTAACCAGCAGATCATACAAATCCTATTTAATTTTAGAATGTGTTTATGGTAAAACTTCATTATAACACTTTGTTCCCTTTAATGTTGCCAACATCAAATGTAAAAACACCAAAGTGTTACAAGAAAGTCCACCGTATGTGGAACATGCTCTATAAGCTAATGTGTTTTTAAGGATGTACAGGAACAGACGAGGGAATGTGCCTCCTATGGAACATGATGGGGATGTTATAGAACAGTCAAACATAAGAATTTCATCTGCTGAAAATAAAAGGTACAGTATTAATATAAATTCTCCCGTTTAGTCATTACATTGTGAAACAGAATGTGCCTAAAACTGGCTAATTGAAAAAGTAGAAAGATATAGTAAATTAACAGCCTTTCTTCTTAGTGAGAAATGAATTAAAGGAAAAGAAAGGATGAGGAGGTAGTACTAAATGAAAATCGATAGTCCTTTGCAGGATTCTTTTAAAGAACAAATGTTTGGTTATAAAGTGTGCCGAGATGTTCTGAAGAAGTCCCTGTCATTACAAAATATGTAAATTTGTTTGAAATAATAAAAGAAATAGGTATAATTTAATGGACTAAAAACTTAAAACATCTTAGAGTCATGGTGATGCAGCTTGACTGGAAATAAATAGAAAATATGGCCTACATGGCGGCTCATACCTGTAATCCCAGCATTTTGAGAGGCCAGTGCAGGTGGATCACTTGAGGTCAGGAGTTCAAGACCAGCCTGGCCAACATGGTGAAACCCAATCTCTACTGAAAATTTAAAAAATTAGCCAGGTGTGGTGGCATGCCCTGTAATCCCAGCCACTTGGGAGGCTGAGGCAGGAGAATAACTTGAACCCAGGAGGCAGAGGTTGTGGTGAGCTGAGATGGTGCCACTGCACTCCAGCCTGGGTGACAGAGCATCTCAAAAAAAAAGAAAAAAAGAAAAAAAAAGAAAATGTTCCTGCAGTGTGAATTTTTCTTTCAAAAATTTATTTTTGATTTTCAGTTTATCAAATAGGTAACTCTGATGCTTACTTTGTAAAATTAATGTTCATATATGTTTGTCATGTTGAAAGGAAATTTAATATGTATTTTATATTTATGTTCTCTTTCTACTAATAGTTTCTATCATTTTGGTGGTATTCTTATGTTATACATAAGAATAAATGGTTTTGATTCTATAGTATACAGTGAAGATAATGTCATGTCAAGAAAGGTGTCTTTTTTTAAAAAAAAAAGTAATTTGTTAACACTGTTTGCAATAAGAGAATTTGTTACTTGGTTCTAATTTAGTAAGTTTTCTTTGAGGAATTTTTTTCCCCGCTTCCAAGGGGAAAAATCCTTTTCCAAGGAAGGAGGTTTTTTTGTTGTTTCGTTTATTTTGAGACAGGGTCTCGCTTTGTTGGAGTGTAGTGACATGATCATGGCTGGAGTGCAGTGACATGATGATGGCTCACTGCAACTTTGACCTTCTGGCCTCCAGTGACCCTCCCACCACAGCCTCTGGAGTAGTTGGGACTACAGGCATGTGCCACTATGCCTAGCTAATTGTTCAAAACAATTTTTTTGTAGAGACAGGATCACACTATGTTGCCCAGGCTAGTCTTGAACTCCCAAACTCATGCTGAGATTACAGTCATGAGCCACTGTGCATGGCCAGGAAGGAGTTTTTTTAGGGATGATCTTTTCTAAGTGTGTACATAGGTCACTCTTTCTCTTCTTTTTTTTTTGGATTTATTTATGAGTACTTTTTTTTTTTTCTTTTCCTTTTTGAGACAGAGTCTCACTCTGTCACCCAGACTGCAGTGCAGTGGTGTGATCTTGGCTCACTGCAACATCTCCCTCCCAGGTTCAAGTGATTCTCCTACTTGGCCTCTCAAGTAGCTGGAATTAGAGGTGTGTGCCACCACACCTGGCTAATTTTTTTTGGGTATTTTTGGTAGAGATGGGGTTTTACCATGTTAGCCAGGCTGATCTAGAACTCCTGACCTCAGGTGATTCAGCCACCTTGGCCTCCCAAAGTGCCTGCATTACAGGCATGAGCCACTGCACCCAGCCTTATGTGCACTTGTATTCTTTTTTTTTTTTTAATTGGGGTAGTTGTTTTTCAAATTGAAAATGATTTTTCCTTTCCTTTTTTTTTTTGAGACGTAGTCTCACTCTGTCACCCAGGCTGAAGTGCAGTGGCATGATCTTGGCTCACTGCAACCTCTGCCTCCTGGGTTCAAGCGATTCTCCTGCCTCAGCCTCCCAAGTAGCTGGGATTACAGAGACACCCCACCATACCTGGTTAATTTCTGTATATTTAGTAGAGATGAGGTTTCACCATGTTGGCCAGGCTGGTCTTGAACTCCTGACCTCAAGCAATCTGCCTGCCTCAGACTCCCAAAGTACTGGGATTACAGGCATGAGCCACCGCTCCCAGGCTGAAAAAGATTTTATTTGAGAACCTATAGAGCCAGTGAAGCAAGCTGAATAAAATGGTTTTGTTTTTTTCTTTTCTTTTTTTTTCTTTTTTTTGTGAGACAGGGTCTCACTCTTGTCACCCAGGCTGTAGCATGCAATGGCTCGATCTTGGCTCATTGCAGCCTCCACTTCTCGAATTCAAGCAATTCTTCTGCCTCAGCCTGCTGAGTAGCTGGGATTAAAGGCCTCGGCCATTATGCCTAGCTAATTTGTATTTTTTAGTAGAGATGGGGTTTCACCATGTTGGCCAGGCTGGTTTTGAAATCTTGACCAAAGCAGGCCAGGATGTCTGCTTTGGCCTCTGAAGGTGCTGGAATTACAGGCATGAGCAACTGTGCCTGGCCAAAATGTTTTTTTTTTAAAGCCTGAATACATTGGAGTTGCACTGTATAAAGAGGTAGAATGCCATGATTTTACCTTAACCTTAAAAATTTGTAAATATCACAGTGTCCATAGTACTTTGAAAGGCTTGTAACTCATATCTACGTTTTACTCTAAAATGTTGCTTCCTGAAAATTATCTGGATTTTAATTCACTCTTTTTCTCTGTCTCTTTCACTCTTTTTCTTTAGTGCTCCAGACAATGGAACATCCAAATCTGCTAATCGAGAGATCTGTAGTCCTTTTGCAGGGATGCTCTTTGGTAGGTACAAAATTTCTAATTGGTTGGGTTTGTACAGTGTCTTATAATAGTTTTTTAGTGAGAACTCAATGTTGTACTTAATACTACTTTTACTAATAGTAGAAAACGTGGTAAGTGCTTACTTTACGCTAGATACTATGCTAATCATTTAACATATATGGCTCTATGTACAATTTTGTATTAAAAAATTTTATGTATCTGTTTTTCATTCATGATCTTTATGAACACATCTATGTATAATTTTAAAGCTAAATTATTTAGTGAAATGCTTTCTATAGATAATGAAATTATTAGTTTCAGTAATCTTTTTTTTTACAAGATGGATCAATCATTACTAGTCAGTAATGAGCTTTTAATTCCATATTTTATTAGCACTCTTGCAGTGTGGCTTTTTTTTTTTAACTTTATACCTCATTTTTTATATGTATTTTATTGCACTTTAGGTTCTGGGGTATATGTGCAGAACATGCGGGATTGTTGCATAGGTACATACATGGCAATATGGTTTGCTGCCTCCGTCCCTGCCACCTATATCTGGCATTTCTCCCCATCTTATCCCTCCCCAACTCCCTACCCTCCACTGTTCCTCCCCTACTCTTCCCCCAGCAGACCCGCATGTGTGATGCTCCCCTCCCTGTGTCCGTGTGTTCTCATTGTTCAACACCCACCTATGAGTGAGAACATGTGGTGTTTGATTTTCTGTTCTTGTGTGAGTTTGCTGAGAATGATGGTTTCCAGATTCATCCATGTCCCTACAAAGGACAGGAACTCATCTTTTTTATGGCTGCGTAGTATTCCATGGTGTATATGTGTCACATTTTCCTTGTCCAGTCTATCATTGATGGGCATTTGGGTTGGTTCCAGGTCTTTGCTGTTGTAAACAGTGCCGCAATGAACATACGTGTGCATGTGTCTTTATGATAGAATTATATATGCTCCTTTGGGTATATATCCAGTGATGGAATTGCTGGGTCAAATGGAATTTCTATTTCTAGGTCCTTGAGGAAGCACCACACTGTCTTCCACAATGGTTGAACTAATTTACACTCCCGCCAACACTGTAAAAGTGTTTCTATTTCTCCACATCCTCTCCAGCATCTGTTGTCTCCAGATTTTTTAATGATCGCCATTGTAACTGGCATGAAATGGTATCTCAATGTGGTTTTGATTTACATTTTTCTAATGACCAGTGATGAGGAGCTTTTTTTTCATATGTTTGTTGACCACATAAATGTCTTTTGAAAAGTGTCTGTTCCTGTCCTTCGTGCACTTGTGAATGGGTTTGTTTGCTTTTTTTTATTGTAAATCTGTTTTCTTTCTTTGTAGATTCTGGATATTAGCCCTTTGTCAGATGGGTAGATTGCAAAAATTTTTTCCCATTCTGTTGGTTGCCATTTCATTCTAATGATTGTTTCTTTTGCTGTGCAGAAGCTTTGGAGTTTAATTAGATGCTGTTTGTCTATTTTGGCTTTTGTTGCCAGTGCTTTTGGTGTCTTAGTCATGAAGTCCTTGCCTATGCCTATGTCCTGAATGGTTTTCCCTAGGTTTTCTTCTAGGGTTTTTATGGTGTTAGGTCTTATGTTTAAGTCTTTAATCCATCTGAAGTTCATTTTAGTGTAAGGTGTCAAGAAGGGGTCCAGTTTCTGCTTTCTGCACATGGCTAGCCAGTTTTCCCAACATCATTTATTAAACAGGAAATCCTTTCCCCATTGCTTGTTTTTGTCAGGTTTGTCAAAGATCAGATGGTTGTAGATGTGTGTTGTTGCTTCTGATGCCTCTGTTCTGTACCATTGGTCTATAACTCTGTTTTGGTACCAGTACCATGCTGTTTTGATTAATGTAGCCTGGTAGTATAGTTTGAAGTCAGGTAGCATGATGCCTCCAACTTTATTCTTTTACTTAGAATTGACTTGGCTATGTGGGCTCTCTTTTGGTTCCATGTGAAGTTTAATGTGGTTTCTTCCAGTTCTGTGAAGAGGGTCATAGGTAGCTTGATGGGGATAGCATTGAATGTATAAATTACTTTGGGCAGTATGGCCATTTTCACAATATTGATTCTTCCTAACCATGAGCATGGAATGTTTTTCCATCTGTTTGTGTTCTCTCTTATTTCCTTGAGCAGTGGTTTGTAGTTTTTCTTGAGGAGGCCCTTTACATCCTTTTGTTAGTTGTATTCCTAGGTATTTCATTTTCTTTGTAGCAATTGTGAATGCCAGTTTGTTCTTGATTTGGCTCTCTTTAAGTCTGTTATTGGTGTATAGGAATGCCTGTGATTTTTGCATATTAATTTTGTATTCTGAGACTTAGTATAGTTAGAACTGCCTTGGTAATGGCTGTCTGCCTCTGTAATGGCGTACTGCCTTGGTAATGGCGAACTGCCTTGGTAATGATGGACTGCCTCGGTAGTGGTAGGCTGCCTTGGTAATGGTGGATCCCCTTTCCCCCACAGAGCTGTACTGTCCTGGGTCTAGCTGGGCTGGCTGTGAAACTCTCAATCCAGAGCGTTTCAGATTGCTGCTCTTTGTGGGGGTTGGACCTACCGAGCCAGATCACCTGGCTACCTGTTTCAGCCCCCTTTTTTTCAGTTGTATGGGCGATTCTGTCTCCCAGATGTTCCAGGTGCCAGTTGAAATGGCCATCCAGATTTGTGTGAGCTTTTGTGTGGAGACCCACTGTGCCAGCTGAGACAGCTGTGCTGGAGACTCGTGGCGCTTTTCCGCCTGGAATCTCTTGTCTGTGGGCAGTAAAAACTCATTTGGAAATGTGGTGATCACTCACCCTCTGTGTTCTCGCTTTGAGCTGCATTCCAGAGCTGTTCCTAGTCAGCCATTTTGGATCGTCTCTATCCAGTGTGGTTGTTTTTAAAAAATATTTTGGTTTATATATGATAGTTTTTTCCTTAATTCTTCTTTCTAGTTTCTTCAGCTAGTACAAAACTTTGTATCTTAGTTTATTTTTCCCAAATTAAACCTTTCTTTCGTTTGTTCTTTTCATGTAGTTTTTGAGAAGATATTTTGTTCAAATAATGATGATGGTCTAAATTTTCTGTTTATTGGAAATCAAGGTCATTGCTGAATAACTTGTTTTACTGTGTTAACGCTTGTCACAATTTAATACCAGAGACTGAGGAGAGCCATGTTTCTGGTTTATACCTTTAAATATGTGATAGAAAAGAGGTGTATTCTTTGTGTGAAAACTGTTAGAAAAAAATGAACTGAAATTTGGTGTTAGTAAAGTATATGAAGAAATTAAATAACACTTTAATTCAAATTAAAAACAGTCAGTAAATTAAATACTGGTTTTGAGACATATAATTACATATATTCTTAGGTTTTTGCTCCCTTGTGAATGGCTGTTGTGAGAAAAATGGCATGCCACCCAGAATTTTATTCTAGTATAATATATGTAAGTGAAAAGTGACCAGTTTAATCTATTAGTACCATGTAGAAGCTGTATTCTTTTTGTTTTATTTATTTATTTTATTTTAAAAGGCTATATTCTTATATATTTTTTCGTCTTATTTATTTTATTTTAAAAGGCTATATTCTTATATATTTTTTCTTTTTCTTATTTTTTTTTGAGACTGAGTCTTGCTCTGTCGCCAAGGATGGAGTGTAGTGGCATGATCTTGGCTCACTGCAACCTCTGCCTCCTGAGTTCAAGTGATTCTTGTGCCTCACCTTCCTGAGTAGCTGGGTTTACAGGTGTGCACCACCACACCCGGCTCATTTTTGTATTTTTGATAGGGACAGGATTTCATCCTGTTGGCCAGGCTGGTCTCAAATTCCTGATCTCAAGTGATCTGTCTGCCTTGGCCTCCCAAAGTACTGGGATTATAGGTATTAGCCACTGTGCCTGGCAGGTGTATTTTATAAAACATGGTAAAATAAGAGAAATGTCTTTCTCAGCTGAGAGCCTACTGATAAATAATTTTTATCAATAAAAGTATGATTGGCATGCTAATTTATTAAATAAATAAATTAGTGGTACACACCTGTAGTCCCAGGCACTCAGGAGGCTGAGGTGGGAGGACTGCTGCTTAAGCCTGGGAGGTTGAGGCTGCAGTGAGCCATGACTGTGCCACTGTACTCCAGCCTGGGTAACAGAGTAAGACCCTGTGTCAAAAAAAAAAAAAAAAAATGTCAGTTAAGTCAAGTTGGTTCATCATATGTTCATGTCTTGTATATCCATAATGAATTTTATCTGTTTCTATCAATTGCTTAGAGAGAAGTGTTGAATTCTCTTCTCTTGCCCTTAGACTGGGGCCTGGACTGCCAGAGGGATTTTCTTAGTGTTCATGCACTTTCCCTGTTTTCAGCAAGACCTTCATGTTCTTGACAGTGAGGACATCTCTCCACACTTTGTCCTCCTCAGCAGTATATTGCTGTTGCTTGTTACTTGATGCTGGACTGGTCCTGTGCATCTGGGCATGAGGGATGAGTCTTTCTCAACATTTCTGTCCTTGCCCAGGATGATAGCTGAACTCTTTTTTGTGTCTGAGGAGGGTTTCGCACCAGATTTTTCACCAGATTTTTTTGCCCTTCCCCTAACAATAACAAACCTTTGCTATATAAGAGTGTGGGATGTTGGGTCCAAGCTGATTTTCTGTCCCTCAACCAATAGCTTGCAGCTTTTGCTTTGTAAAATGTGGACCATTTTTTGTGCCTGAATGTCACAGTCACAAAGTCTGGAATGTGGACCATGTTTTGTGCCTGAATGTCACAGAAGTATCTCTTTCAGGTCTTCTGTATAGTTTGATCTCAGTTTTCCTAGTGAACATTTGGAAATTGCATTCAGGCAGAAACTCCAGTGGGTTGAGTCTGGGCATGGTTTACTGAACAGATCCTTTGCTACTGGTCTCAAAAGGCTATAATCAAGGTATCCACCAGGCTGCTTTTTAACCGGAGGCTTGAGTGGGGAAGAATCTGCCTCCGAGCTAATTCAGGTTGTTGGCAGAATTAATTTCTTTGTGGCTGTATGACTGAGGGCCCTGGCTTCTTACTGGATACCCACTGGAGGCTGCCTACAGTTCCTAGTGGCCATCTGCTGTTCTTTGCCATGTGGGCTTCCTCACCATGATTGCCCACTTTATGCCAGCAAGAAGCCTATGTAAATTCAGGGAGGCCCAGTTCTTCTAAGGCTTTTCACCTGAGTATAGTGTATATCAGGTCCACCTAAGATAATCTCCCTTTTGATTACTTCAAAACTAGTTGATTTGGTACCTTAGTTACCTCTGCAATTTTTTTTTTTTTAACCTTTCTGTATTCTAGTGTATACAAGTAAGTCACAGGTCTCACATATTCTCAAGGGGTGGGAATTATACAGGGATTCAGCAGGGAGTGGGGAACATAGTAGCCATCTTTAAAAATTTTTGTCTACCATTGTCACATTTCTATTACTAATGTTGCAGTCTCACCAATGCACTTTAATATAGCAGTTTCTTGTCTGAACTAGTACCCCAGGTTCTTTGTCCCATGTCCAAGAAAATTAAGGAACATAGACACAAACGTGGGGTTGGGAAGTTTAATAAGTGAAAGAAAAGAAGCTCTCCATAGGGAAGAGGGGAGTCCAAGTGAATTGCCAGGTTACAGCTGAATTAAAAAGCTTTTATAAGAAACTCTTCTTCCCTGTAGAAGTTTGAGTAACTTTTCTTGTAAAGCTGTTTGTGGAACTCCTGTTATCTTGTGCAGCTGTGGATATGTCTCTAGGCAAGTGCTTCTCTTGTTTGAATAACTGGGTTTGTTTTAGATAAGCCACCCCCAGTCCCCATGCAAGTTCCTATGATGAATGTGCCTGAAAAGGGGAGGAAACTTTTTCCTGGTTATTTACTAATTAGACAAAGAACAAAGAGCTCTATGCTGGACCCTGTTTGCTTGTCGGTCCAGGTGCAGTCTGATTTGTTTTTTCCCACCTGTTTTTTTTTTTTTTTAAACCTGTTGCTGTGACTTTTCAGGCAGGCTGCTTCTGCAGTCTGAATTTTTTCTAAATGATTTTTCCTTTCCTTTTCTCTCACGAAAGACCAATTTGGTCTTAGTTTGGTTCTAAGCTTAGCTAGGGACCTCTAAAGTAGCCTTCCTTTCAGAGAACAGTTTAGCTTTACTACTACAGAGTAACCTTTCTGACATGTTTCCTGAAAGACCACAGAGAACCTAGCTGGCTGGAGCTTGAATTTCGCTCCTTTGTTTCAGGTCTGAGAATTGTTCAGTTTACATGTCCTCTTTAGTTTGTTGCCAGACTGAATGGCATTTCACTCTGTGAATACACAAAGTAGCACACTGCAAAGTCTGGAGGGACCTCCTGTGGATTTCTGGAGCTCTTTTTATGTTTCCTGTTGGATCTTTGCTCCATAACTTCCAGCCATTTTAGCCTTCCTGAATTTTGTTCTTTATCTACTCAGTTTAGCTCATCTTCCTGGCCTTTGGGTTATCTTTACTTCTTTGCCTATATTGGTGGTCTGGAAATTTCACTTGAGTAGAAATTGGGTGATTATAGGGCTCACCTCATTGATTTTCCTTCCCTTAGTTACTACAGTTCTGTACTACCTATTGTCCAGTGTCTGGAAAGCAATTATTTTGTGTATTTTGCCCAGTTTTCTAGTGTTTGTTGTTGTTATTTGTTCTTTTAAACAGTGTGAGGCTAAGTCTTGCTTTTGTTATTTTATCATGGGTCAGAAGTGGAATGAGAATATTTACTTTTATTATAAAACACAGTTATTAGCCTTAATGTAATTTATGTTACCTCTATGGGATCTTCACTGTTGCTGACATTTATGCTTAATGGACAAACTGAGATGCTGTGTGCCCATTGATGGTTGGAGACCAATAATGAAGGCAGGACAGAAATTGCTCTTTCAGTTGCATTCTTGATACCCTGTGATTTTTATAGTGTTCCAGATCTTGCATATCTAGATTGAGGTTATTTTGTGGCATTAACATGCAATAATAATAATAATCTCTGCATTCAAAATTTTTGATCAACTGGATTTTTGTATAAGGAATACCAGGGTGAGGGGTTTGTATTTCTTCCTGTAGAGTTGAGGTTTTTTGAGCAGGGTGCCAATTTGATTAGTGTATTTTTTTTTTTTTTTGAGACAGTCTTTCTCTGTTGCCATTCTGGAGTGCAGTGGTGTGATCTCGATTCACTGCAACATCCACCTCCCAGGTTCAAGCAATTCCCCTGCCTCAGCCTACCAAGTAACTGGGAGTACAGGCTTGTGCCACCATGCACGGCTAATTTTTTTGTATTTTAGTAGAGACAGCGTTTCACCATGTTGGCCAGGATGGTCTTGATCTCCTTGACCTCATGATCCGTCTGCCTCTGCCTCCCAAAGTGTTGGGATTACAGGTGTGAACCACTGTGCCCGGCTTGATTAGTGTATTTTATGACAGTTAATATTACATAGTGTGCTAGATGTACTGGAGTAGGGAGAAGGGAGTTGAGAAGACTGGTTATTAGTTAGGAAGTTATTGCTGCAATCCAGGTCAGTTGTAGAGAGGACTTATCCAAGGTTAATGGCTCTGAGAATAGAAAGGAGGGGGCCTCATATGAAGCGAATAGGAGAGAACAAGCATCCAAGTTATAGTGAGATTTTGAGACTCCATTATCAGACCATTAATAGAAAATGAAGAGGGGCAGTTGGTTTTGTGATGCTTGTTTGGGATGGAAATGTTAAATTTATAGGACTTATGGAAGCTATTAATGGAAATATTTAGATTATTAGAAAAATGGGTTTGGTTAAGAATATTTTGTTATTTAGGAAAAATGTTGACTAAAGGTAGACTCATGAGCATGTTTTCTGTATCTTGTGTTTGATACATAGTAGGTAACCCATTATTTACAAAATTAATTGAAAAAGGACTGATGCATGTGATTTTTTTTCTTCTATATTTCTTGCATATTCAGTAATTATATAATTAAGATGGAGTTTTTAAGGACTTGACTTTCTAATTGCATATTGATGCTTAAGAGTTAAGATTGCATTTTTTTCTTATCACTATCTAGGTGGTGAAGATCGAGAACTTATTCAGAGAAGGAAAGAGAAATACAGACTGGAATTATTGGAACAAATGGCTGAGCAACAGAGGAACAAGAGACGGTAATGAAAGGTTTGCATTTAAAAGAGATATTTTTAGTTTAAAATGCATTTGTGTAAAATGGCATGATGATTAAATAATGGGTTGTCTTTCTGATACGCTTTTTGATGTGTAAACCACTTATATTTTAATCTCTACATGGGAAATTAACAAGGAAAATAAATACTGAGAGTTTTTATTTTTTTTGTCATAAGTAACGAATGAGAGTATTTGTGTATTCTATAATAGGCCTTTTACTTCATTGATTTCTTCAGTTTCTGATTTAAGGTAGCATTTAATATTATAGATATGCCCATTGGATTATCCCATATATAGTAAGAAATATAAAAGTATTTTTTGCCATATAAAATGGTATGCACACACATGTATGCAATAAAAAAAATTGTATCCTATACATTTTACATTTCCATCCCAAATGAGCATCTCAAAACCAACTGCCCCTCTTCATTTTCTCTTAGTGGCCCAGTAATGGAGCCTCAAAATCTCACTATAACTTGGATTGCTTGTCCTCTCCCATTCACTTCACATGAGACCCCTCCTTCTTCCTATTCTCAGAGCCGTTAACCTTGGATAAGTCCTTTCTACATCTGACCTGGATTGCAGTGGTAGCTTCCTAACTAATACATAGTCTTCCCAACTCCTTTCTCCCTGCTCCAGTAGATCCAGCACACTATGTAGTATTAATTGTCATAAAATACACTAATCAAACTGGCACCCTGCTCAAAAAACTTCAACGGCTTTCTCAATTCTACAGGAATGTTAAATCACAAGTATTTATGTTGTATATAGGTGTCATTGTTTGTAGTCTTTTTTGTTGAAATACCTGTGAGATATTAATTACAGTTTAAAATTAGGAATAGAGATCTTGTTTTGAGAGAATTTGAGACTTGTTATCTTTTAGTTTTTGCCTTTTTCCTCTATCTCAGAGGAAGCCAATATCTGCTGTTTGATGTTGGCGATCTTTAGTATCATTTTTTAAAAAAACTGTTATTAGGAAGTATTATGTGTATTAAATATACATGTACCCTAAAAGAGTTTTCTTTTGTTTTACAAAGTAGAGATTTCATTTTTGTGTTGAGAAATAGTGAGTTTATGAGTATTAATGAATGCTGAGTGTATGATAGAATATATTGTTTGCTAGGAAGAACGATCAAGGAAAACCTAGCTGACCCCTCCCCAAGTGGAAGACCACTTGGGGCATTCCAGAGTGTCAGGACAATGTATAAATATCACACCAGTTAAAACAATTCTTGGAGATATCTGACCCTGCCCCCGTGGCTCCCTGGTGGAGAATACCTTTTAGTTTGTTTGTGGTTAGTGGTAAGTGGGTAACAGCTGCTTACTTGGTATATTTTTGTGTTCCGAGAAAATACAGAACACCTGTTTGTTAATAATAATCACCTGTTCAGAGAGAATAACTAGGTGGCTCAGAATGTGCCCAAAGCCTTTAGCCTAGAATGCTTTCAGTCCCTGAAGCTCTCAGTTCCTAAGGCTGCTGCCGGAGCCACCCATTCCATCTGCCCCCCCATAGACCCACTTTGCTGTTCTATCTGGGTGTCTGTCCTTCATTGCCTTCAGTGCTGCCTGGGTGGGGGGTCTCTCTGGCTGAGCTGGTACTTGGTATTTTTGTATTTTATTTTATGTGAATTGCTTAGTCTTTGAAATACTCCAGGCACTAGTTTAGAGATACATTGTCTAAATTAGTTACATGTGAATTCTAGTTTACTTTGTATCAAGTAAAAAAATTTGGCTTTCAGTGTTATTTAAGGCTGTATTGTCAGTTAAAGGAATTACTTGTTTTTGGAGATGTATTGCATAGACTTTGTGTGTAAGCGTATTTCAATGATGATTTACAATTTTGATAGTGTTTGCTATATCTTTTTAATATATAAAACTTTAATTTTGTTTAGAGAAAAAGATTTAGAACTCAGGGTTGCAGCGTCGGGAGCACAAGACCCTGAGAAATCGGTAAGGGTTTCTGGCATCTTTTAATGTTTAATCTTTCATTCAAATCATCCTCAAATGAGGTGGCAGGAGGGGTTAGAGAATATTGGGGGGAAAAGAGTAGGCCAGTTTACAGTAATAAAATAAACTAAATTCACTTCTCATAAAGTGTAAATTCTTTTAACTATTATTTCCTTGAGATAATTTTTCATTTGCGTAATTTTTTAAGTTTATTTAAAATTAGTTCTCTCTGCTTTGTTTATATGTACTATTCCATGGGAAAGTTATCTCGGTTAAATTTACAATTGATGTTAATATTTTTCTTCAGTGTATCTTGAACACTTATATGGGAGTCATTCCAAGGAAACTGAAAACTGTGTTCTTAAAGCATTTTAGTAATTGTTACTTAATATAAAATTAGAGATATAATTATCTTATTTTTACTTTAATTTTGCAATTCTCATCATTAAGTGGAATGAATTACTCACATCATTGCAGTTAAGTAAGGAGGAGGTAATAATTTATTGCTTTTACCACAATTTACTTTTTCTGTAGTTGGATATGTAGTATTTATTTCTAAGGCAGGTTTGTTTCATCTTTGAATGATGATTAAGACCTTTAATTTCATTAAAAAGTTTATTAAAAGGTTTGTTCTTAAAAAGGATGCAACAACTTAAAATCATTTACCTATCGGCAACTTTTGATTTGCTTTTACTTACGATAAGAGTATATGCACCAGCATTACTCCCGGTATGCTTCTGACTATGCCTAGAAAAAATGTTTAGATTAACCTGAGAAATCGTTCCTGATAAGATAATCATGGTAGAAAAAAAAGATAAATTTCAAAACTAAATATATTTTCTTGTATCAATCATTTCCTTTTCGAAGGTGAGCTTTTTAATGTAATATGTTTGCATGTTATATTTTGAATTTATGGTTACTAGTGTGTGACAGACCTTATTTATCTTTGAAGTTCCTATAGAGTGTCAAGTTGATTTAAATAAATAATTAGAGGCAACAGGTCTTTACTTTTGATGATGTGCAAATCTTAGAAAAGGACACATAAGTGATCTGTGGTCAAATTTGTTTGCTGCGTCTTTTCATAAAAAAAAAAAAAGTTTTATTGCAGCACAGCCTTGCTCATTTGTTGACGTGTAATATTTGTGGCTGATTTAGCACTATGGCTGAGTATGATCATTATGAAGGACTATGTAGTCTTGCAAACCCTAATCTATTTACTGTCTAGCCCTTTACGGAAAGCATTTGCTGACCCTGTTTTACAGAATACTTTGATAACAGAAATGGCAATTAGAGAAGTAGCATAGTGTCATGGTACATAGAAAGAATACTACAGATTTAGTATCTGACTCAAGCCTTTCCTTATTTACTAATAGTGAGAGCTTAGGTGATCTATTACTTCTCAGAGCCTCAGTCACCCATTTATAAAATAATAATTAGATATTCAGAGTCTGGCTGACGTGGAGGCTCACCCCTATAATTCCAGCACTCTGGGTGGCAGAGGTGGGCAGATCATTGGAGGCCAGGAGTTTGAGACCAGCCTGGCCATTGTGGTGAAACCTCTTTCTATACTAAAAATACAAAAATCAGCCGGGTGTGGGGGCAGGTGTCTGTAATCCCAGCTACTCTGAGGCTGAGGCGGGAGAATAGATTGAGCCCAGGAGGTAGAGGTTGCTGTGACCACAAGAGGTTGATTGTGCCACTGCACTCCAGCCTGGGTGACAGAATGAGACTCTGTCTCAAAAATAAATAAATATAAAAATAGATATTTAGAGTCTTTTATAGCTGTAAAAATCTGTGATTCTGTGACTATCTTAAGGGCCTGCTGGGATAGGAGGTCTTTTGAGGTCCCTTCCACCTTTAAATTTATGATTATATGTAACATACAGATTTTTTTTTCTTTATTTTAGCCTGATAGACTAAAGCAGTTTAGTGTGGCACCAAGACACTTTGAAGAGATGATACCACCTGAAAGACCCAGAGTAGCTTTCCAGACACCTCTCCCTCCTTTATCTGTCCCATCTGTCCCACCCATCCCATCAGTTCATTCTGTTCCTTCTCAAAATGAAGATTTGCAAAATGGACTCAGCAGCGCCCTTGGTGAAGTGGTGCCTCCCAGGTGCTTGTTTAAATGTTTTGTGTTTGGGAATTAGGTAAGGTATTGCTATATTTTATGTTTAAAAGGATGTGCTGAAGCAGATGACGTTGTTCTTCAGAGAGTTTGTGCAATTAAACAGTTTTGTGAAATAATTTCTTTGAATTTTTCTCTGCTATTATAAAAAGGGGAAATTATTAAAACATTGTTTAAAGATTATTTTTTATCTTTAGAATGAATCACTAAATACATTTTTATATTTAGTTTTAGGTCATATTTTGGGATGTCTGTTTTTGATATCTTTTAACATATAGAAGTTGTGCATTCTTTTTCAATTTTGTTGTTTCCACTTGGCAAACATTGAATTCATCAATTTGTGCAGAAAAAGTTTCTAATGTGGCTCTTTTATAAATATAATTTTATTTTAGCTTCTGTTTCCTTCAGCTCATTTTCTGTGATTACTTCTGGGCTATGTAACTCAAATGCCTGAAATAAAAATTAAAACCTGTAATTTAGGTATTGGGGTAAAGATTTGATTTCTGTAGGTAAAGGCATCATGCTGTAATAGAGTATACAAAAAGAAAATCCTGTTGTTAATATTAATATTTTCTGGGCTATACTTTCTTCTTTCTAAGACTTGGGCTTATTTTTTGTTCACTATTAGTGTATTAATTATAAAATGTATTTAAATTTAGAGGTGTTTTTCTTAACTTTTGAACATTGATATTTTCTGGGCTATACTTTAGTCTTTCATAGGAGTTAGTCTTTTAGTTACTAACCAATTGTAGGAGTGTATTTACTGTACTTATCAGGGTCTCTGTGTTTTTCATCTGATGGCTTCCTGACTCCAGTAGGAGGGATTGGAATTAGAGCATTTCATGGTGGTCTCAGCATTGAATTAGGAATTGAAATGATTGGCTTTCCTATCTGGATTTTGGGCAAACTACACCTTTGTTGAAGTTCAGTTTTCTCATTTGTAAAAGTAGAATAGTATTATATACGTATTTTCATGTCTATAATTATAGGGTTGTTGTGAGGATTAGCTCATATAAATCTCTATAAAATGTGATTTAATGGGCCGGGTACTGTGGGTCATGCCTGTAATTCCAGCACTTTGGGAGGCCAAGGTGGGCAGATCATGAGGTCAGGAGTTCAAGACCAGTCTGGCCAACATGGTGAAACCCCATCTCTACTAAAATTACAAAAATTAGGTGGGCATGGTGGTGCATGCCTGTAATCCCAGCTACTTGGGAGGCTGAGGCAGGCGAATCATTTTAACTGGTGAGGCGGAGGTTGCAGTGAGCCAAGATCAAGCCACTGCACTCCAGTCTGGGCTACCGAGTGAGACTCTGTCTCAAAAAAAAGAAAAAATTTTTTTTGATTTAGTGATAATGAGTGGCTAGTAAATATGAAAAATATTCCCTACTACAGAGAACTTCAGTGCCTTCTTAGTTCTTTGGAATTATTTTGAAGTATATGACAAGGGAGAACCTGTTAATGTACAACAGTGAGAACATTCTAGAACGCTACTATCTATTCATTTAAAGGAATTTGCCTTTGTTGCTTTTACTACTAAAAATATTGCATTGGTGGAAATACAGAGAAATTTCTTTATCAGTAATGAAGTGCTAATGTAGAGAGGTTCAGAAGTTTTAAATTATGAAATACTAAAGATATGTCAATACTTTACTGCTGATATTTAAGTGGTTTTTATTTTATGTTAAAAAATACATTTCCCCAGTCAGACTGAACCATTTATACTCTCACTGTTTTATAGCTCTTTGCCTTCTCTACCTTGATTGTCCTTCCTCTAACACTAGCTCACTCCAGTAGCATGGCTTATGTGTTGCCTCTTCTGCAAAGCCTTATGTGTGCTTTCTTTCTCTCTCTCACGTGATTTAAATGTCTCTGCTCCTGTTCCTGTAGCACTCTGCATCCACTTCTATTATTTAATTTGCTTGTACTTACTTGACCGTACTTGTTTATTTTCATGTTACTCTTGAGGGACAGGGACCATGTCTCTCTGTATTTGATACTGGTACATAGTGCCTATTGGATATTAATTGATTAAATATTAACCCAGGTTTTTATCTTACATAAATGTACCCGAAATTGTGAAATCCTATGTAATATTATTTGCTTTTTGAGTCATAATTTTTGATGAATGATTGGAACAAGATGGTGACTTTTTCTAAAGTAGTGGTAGGATTTTCAGTACTGTTTTTGGAAAAGAATAATATCTTGATTATAAAAAATTGCAAAGAAATATGAAAGGAATTTTTCATTTTTCTTTTCATACAGGATTGCACCTCTGCCTCCACCTCCCCTACCACCACCTTTGGCTACTAATTATCGAACTCCTTATGATGATGCATACTATTTTTATGGGGCCAGGAATACTTTGGATCCCAGTCTGGCTTATTGTGAGTTGTCTATAGGATAAACATTTTCTCCCTCAGTGGCTCAATAAGGAAAATTGGTTTTTGTGTAAATGGAAAATATCTAAATGAGAAAAGCACAGCTTTTCTTAATTCAGATGTTATATATTGACTTAATAAGTGCCATATTTTAAAGCCCAGTTATATTTTATAGTTACTTCCTTTTTATCTTGATTTAAGAAATAACGCTTGTGTTTTTTTATGTTGTTCTCTGCTAACTTCTAACCCAGAAGGAAATATTGATGGTTTTCCCTAGGTGACATTTTGATTATATACCTTTTTTCTGGAGGAATAAATAAAATGTTATTAAATGGTTATCCTAAATAAACTTTTTTTTTCTTTTAAGATGGTTCAGGAATGGTGGGAGTACAGCCTGCAGCTTATGTTAGTGCTCCTGTCACCCATCAGCTAATACAACCTATTGTGTAAGTTATTAGTTAAAAGAATAATTTTTCCCCACTTTTTATATTGTAAAGATACACATAACCTAAAAGCTACCATGCTAACATTTTAAAGTGTACTATTTATTGGTATTTAACATTTTCATAATGTGCAACCAACACCACAATCCATCTTCAGAACTGTTTTTTCTTATAAACTGAAACTTGATACCCATTAAATAATAATGGTGTACCTCCCCATTCTCCTGCCCCCATTCTCTGGCAACCACCATTCTGTTTCTGATTTTGACTACTCCATATACCTTATATGAATAGAATCATATAATATTTATCTTTTTGTGACTGGCTGATTTCACTTAGCATAATGTCCTAAAGGTTCATCTGTGTTGTAGTGTATTTCAGAATTTCTCTTCTTTTTAAGGCTGAATTATGATCCATTGTAATGGTATACAACATTTTGCTTATCTGTCCATTTATCCATCAGTGGACATTTGGGGTTGCTTCTACATTTTGGCTGTTTGTGAATAATGCTGCCGTGAACATGAGTTTACAAATATCTCTTTGAAATCTTGTTTTCAAATTTTTTGGGTCTGTACCTAGAGCTGGAAATGCTGAGTCATATGGTAATTCTATGTTTAATTTCTTGCAGACTATCATACTGTTTTCCACAATGGCCATTTTTATATTCTCAATAGGGCACAAGGGTTCCAATTTCTCCACATCTTTGCCAATACTTATTTTCTTTTTCTTTTTTTTTTTATAGTAACCATTTTAATGAGTATGAGATGGTATTTCATTGTGGTGTCGATTTGCATTTCCCTAATGATTACTGAGGTTGAACATCTTTTCATATGCTTATTGGTCGTTTGTATATCTTTGGAGAAATGTCTTTTCAAGTACTTTGCCCATTTTTGAATTAGGTTGTTTTTTATTGCTGAGTTTTCAGAGTCCTCCATATATCCTGGTTATTAGTACCATGTCAGGGATATAATTTGGACATATTTGCTCCCATTCTGTCTTGATACTGCCTTTTGATGCACAAAATTCTTAAATTTTCATAAAGTCCAGTTTGACTATTTTTGTTATTGTTGCCTGTGCCTTTGGTGTCATGTTCAAGAAATCTGCCAAATCCAACATCCTGAAGCTTTTGCCCTATGTTTTCTTCTGAGAGTTTTATAATTTTAGGTCTCATATTGAGTGGTTTGAGTAATTTGAGTGAATTTTTATTTATGGTATTGCATAAGGATTCATCTTAGTTATTTAGTATGTAGATACTCACTTTTCTTGGCACCATTTGTTGGAAAGACTCTTTTTTGCTTTGAGAGATACTGGCATTCTTGTTGAATATCATTTGACCAAATACGCGAGGATTTATTTCTGGGCTATCTATCCTATTCCCTGTGTGTATGTCTTCCTTTATCCCAGTACCATAGTGTTTTGGTTACTGTTGCTTTGAATGTTTGGAAATCAGAAAATGTGAGTTTTCCAGCTTCGTTTTTCTCAATGTTGTTTTGGCTATTTTGAATCTCTGAAGATGCCATATAAATTATAGGATGAATTTTTCTATTTCTGCAGAAAAGTCATTGGGATTTTGGTGGGGAATGTATTGAATCTTTGGGTAGTTTTGACATTTTAACAGTGTCATGTCTTCTGATCGGTGAACATAAGATATATGTCCATTTATTTATCTCTTTTAAAATGCCTTTGAGCAATATTTCATAGTTTTCATTGTACAGGTATAGGTCTTTCACTTCTTTAGTTAATTCCTAAGTATTCTTATGCTTTTATAAATAGAATTCCTTTCATAATTTTCAAATTGTTCATTGTATTAGTGTATAGGAAGGCAGCTGAATTTTGGGTGTTGATTTCTATCCTGTTACTTTGCTGAATTCATTTATTTTAATAGTTTTGTTGTGGAATCTTGGATTTTCTGCAGATAAGATGATAACATCTGTGAACCAAAATAATTTCACTTTTTCTTTCTCATTTGGATACCTTTTATTTATTTTTCTTTCTTAATTACTCTGGCTAGAGCTTCCAGTACTATGTTTAATAGAAATGGCAAAAGTGGGCATCCCTGGCTTGTTCCTGATGTTAGAGGAAAAGGTTTTGAATATGATATTTGCTGTGGGTTTTCCATATATGGCTTTTTATTATGTTGAGGTAATTTCAATTCCTAGTTTGTTGAGTTTTAACAGTGTAAGGTTAACTTTTGTCAAATGCTTTTTCTGTATTGAGATGATCATGTTGTTTTTTTCCCTTCATTCTGTTATGTGGTATATTGATTGATTTTTATGTTTAACCATATCCATCCTTGCATTTCAGGAATAAATTTCACTTAATCATGGTGTATAATCATTTTAATATGCTGCTGGATTTGGTTTGCTAGTATTAAGGAGTTTTGCATCAGTGTTCATATGTGATATTGTTGTAGTTTCCTTTAGTGTCTTTTCCTAGCTTTGGTATAAAGTGTAATGCTGGGCTTATAGAAGAAATTAGGAAGTGTTCCCTTTTCTTGAACTGACTGAAAAAGTTGGAGAAGGATTCATGTTAGTTCTTTAAATGTTTGTTAGAATTCACCAGTGAAACCATCAGGTACAGGCTTTTTGTTGTTGTTGTTGTTGTTGGATAATTACTGATTACAGATTCAGTTTCTTTAGTAACTAGTTACAGGTCTATTCAGATTTTCTTTTTCTTCATGATTTAGTCTTGATAGTTTTTATTTCTAGGAATTTGTTCATCTTATCTAGTTATCCAGTTTGTTGGCATATAATTGTGAATAGTATTCCCTTACAGTCCTTTTTTATTTTTATAAGATTAATAGTGATGTCCCTTTGTGAATTCCTGATTTTATTTTTTATTTTTATTTACTTATATATTTTTCTGACCTCATTCTTCTCATCACAGCATTCCTGATTTTAACAGAAGATTCAGAGCCTTCTTGTTGGTCAGTGTAGCTAACCATTTATCAATCTTGTTGGTCTTTCCAAATAAGAAACTATTGATTTTTTTTTTTTTCTGTTACTCTCGTTTCTATTTCATTGATTTCTACTGTTACCTTTTAAATTTCCTTCCTTCTGCTTACTTTGGGTTCTGTTTGATATTATTTTTCTAGTTTCTAGAGATGGAAATCTTAAGTATTGATTTGGTATCTCTTCCTTTCTTTTGGTATATAAACTTAAAACTGTAAGCTTTCCTCTTAGTACTGTTTTCACTATATATACTTTAAGTTTTGAAATGTTGTCTTTTCATTTTCATTCCTCTCAAAATATTTTCCATTAAAACATTTCTTTGTCAACCTATTGGCTATTTTCAAATTTGTTGTTTAATTTCCACATAATTGTAAATTTCCCAAATTCCTTCTGTTACTTATGAGTAATATAATTACATTGCAGTTGGAGAACAAACTTTGTATGATTTCAGTCAGTTCTTTTTAATTTATTGAGGCTTATTTTATGACCTAACATGGTCTGTCGTGGAGAACGTTCCACATGTACTTGAGAAGAATGTATATTGTCCTGTTGGTGAGTGTATTTTTTTATAAATGTCTTTTAGATCTGGTTGGTTTATAGTGTTATTTCTTTGATTTCTTTGTTGATCTTCTGTGTAATTGTTCTATTATTATAAGTGAACTACTGAAATCTCCAACTGGTGTGTGTGTGTGTGTGTGTGTGTGTGTGTATACACACAGCCTTGCTCTGTCACCCATGCTGGAGTACAGTTGTGAGACCATAGTTTGCAGTAGCTTCAACCTCCCAGGCTTAAGCAGTCCTCCTACCCCAGCCTCCTGAGCAGCTAGGACTACAGCCATGTGCCACTGCACCTAATTTATTTTTTGTAGAAACAGGGTCTCCCTGTGTTGCCCAGGGCGATCTTGAACTCCTAGCCTCAAGCAATCCTCTCCCCTGAGCCTCCCAAAGTACTAGGAATACAGGCATGAGATACCACACCTGGACTTCAACTATTATTCTTGAGTTGTCTATTTTTCTCTTCAATTCTATCAGTTTTGTTTCATCTCTTAGGTCTCTCTTTATATGCATATATTTATAATTGTGTCTTATTGAGGGTTTGACCCTTTTATTAGTAGCAAAGATTCTTCTCTGTCTCTAACAGTTTTTGTCATAAAATATTTTTAGTTCTAATATACATGTTGCTGTTCTGGTTCTCTTTCAGGACTGTTTGCATGGTGTATGATTTTTCATATTTACCCTCAATTTTTTTGTGTCTTTGAATCTAAAGGATGTCTCTATGTAGACAGAATGCAGTTACTTCCTGGTTTTTATGTTCGCCATTTTGCAATTTTTTTCTATATGCCTTATGTCTTTTTATTTCTGTAATCTTCCCTTATTACTACCTTCTTTGTTCTTTTTTTTGGGCGGGGAGACAAGGTCTTATTCTGTTGCCCAGGCTGGAGTGCAGTGTTGTGATCACAGCTCACTGCAGCCTTAAACTTCTAGTCTCAAGCACTCCTTCCACTCCAACCTCCCAAGGAGCTGGAACTACAAGCACATGCCACCATGCCTGGCTCATATTTGTATTGTTAGTAGAAATGGGATTTTGCCATGTTTCCCAGGCTGGTCTCAAAGTTCTGGCTCAAGTGATCCACCTGCCTCAGCCTCCCAAAGTGCTGGGATTACAGGCATGAGCCATCGTGGGCCAGCCTGTTAGCTTCTTTCATGTTAAATATTTAATAGCATTCAATCTTGATTTCTTTGTTGCTTTTTGCATAATTTTGAGTTCTTTTGTAGTTTCCCTACAGATTAAAATTAATAATTTAAAATGAGCTTAGATTAATAGCAACTTAATTTCAATGGTACACAAACCTTTTCTCTAATATAATGTCATTGCTTTTCTTCTGTTTGATGCTATTGTTGTCATATAATTTACACTTTTATACATTTAAGTCTCAACACAGTTTTACAATTATTGCCTTATGCAGTTGTCTTTTATTAATTAATTTTCTTTAGATGAAGTCTTGCTTTGTTGCCTGGGCTGGATAATGGCTTGATCTTGACTCACTGCAG